TTGGTTTTTTTATTAACTTCTTCACTCTCAAAAGACGGCATATCAGCATAACATCTCGCAAAAGACGTAGCCTGTCCGCTCGTTAAAGGTTAACAACTTATCTTTTTTTTTTATTAGAAATGTGACATTTATTTATGAATCAACGAGACATCTTAGCTTTACTTTGATTAGTTGTTCGCTAACTTTCGTGTTGTTGTCTCAAAACCGATGGTAAAGTTATATTTTTGATATAAATATATTATTTCATATATTGATACGATCTCTTGAACATTTTGTGCATATGCTTATGAATATATGAAATATGTTTACGAATAAACAAACTAATAAGAATGGCTACGTGAATGCAACAACAATAATGTTGATTACAGATTTAAGCAATTTTTAAATTAGTCAAACAAGTGTAGGCATTAAACCCCTAATAGAAAGTCTATGTTCAGCAGTGGAGAATTAATGCCTGATATAGTATGGAAGGCATTAAAAATGTATTAGAGCCGTCTTATTTTTTACACTTCCTCGCAACGATCTAACAAAATAACATATCCAGTAATGTTCACTTATGGGAAAAATATTAAAAATTTATTTATGGTTTTAGCCCATCACTGCACTGCGGTGATATTAGAACCAATCTATTTTAAAAGTTCATCTCTCCATAACGCCTTTTTACTGTTCGATCTATAATTCCTCTAGCTGACTCGCTTTCAACTAATAATAATTTTCTGTTTTTGATGATCAGTTCAAATATAACAGCAGAGCATAACAAAATGAGACTTATTATAATATATTACAATACTTTTTTCAATATCTTTGTTTAAAAAAAATATTATAATTGTAAAGTGCAAAATCAATAAATAACAATTTATCTTCCAAATGCGACTTAATTTGTCTTTTAATCATGAAGTTTTTTAAATATCTGGATCCTTTAAAAAGAACTTCCAAGTTCTATGAAATTATCTAAAATTAAATTCTTTGCAAATGACAAGGTACCTATTATTAAAATTTTCATTGGAAAATATTAAAAGCATTGGAATCCGGGAGGATAACCCTCTGCAATATTCTTAAATCTTTCCAATTAATGAAGCAATTGTGAATGTGGGCGGCATCGGCTGCTCTCAAGGCAGTAATGAAACGGTTTCATTCAAAGTAGGTATCGGAAAGTACTCCAAATGGAGAGCGAACGGCCAATAAATGACAATGTAACTGGGCTGTTTGCACGTTATCTCGAGCATTCGTTTATCCGCTATTTAAAGATAAGCCGTAATATGTACCTATATCTATAGAATTGTTATATGAAAATTACGCTGATTTTTACTCTAAGCTACATCTAGCTATTAGGGTATTTAAAAGTATTTTCCAATCAATGGTCTGGCCCCTTAACAAAGCTGCATATGACATGTTTTAGCGCTTATTTGCAACCTCTGTTCGCATCTTAGAGAGCGTAGCAGATAATTTTGGGATAGGCACAGTCCACGCGGTCACACCTTAAGCCCACCTATGTATTATATCTCACTAGATATATAGGTGCCTTTAAGGAGGGGTAAGGAGTACCACTATAAATGTCTATTTTTCATATATACGTATATACAAATCCGTCACGCTTGTTTCCTACTATTGTAGGCAGAAACAATGGAACACTGAATGCTTAGATTCAAACAGACCTCTTTCGCTTTCTTCACATTTTTAAATTTTTTCATACATGCTCGCCGGTTACGAATACTTTTAATTTGGCCCTTCTTCAGCACGTCACTTATTTGGGCGACATACGCTCGTCTAGGGCAGTTCCTACCAACATCTCTATTCATTCGTGCTCGATAAATCATTTTCGTAATTTCTTCTTTCATCAATCCTCTCCAATGACAGTATACCGTCTTATAGTTCACTTTTTTCTCTAATCACAGTATTTTATTTTTCATATATTTATTTTATATTTCATATATTTCACAACTATATACTAAGAGGAATTTTTATTAATTAAAATAAAATTTATTAAAATAATTATGTAAGTACATAACAAAGTTCATTCCTACCGAAAAAGTGCCCTTTTTCCCTGAGTATTGTAAACACTTACATAGAATCAAAAAATTTTACATATGATGCAATTGCAAGAAACAATGTCCATAGCATGATATAAGCTAGAATACTTTACTCGAAAAAATATTACATTATTTTGGATGAAATATTTACCTGTACCTTGTACCTGTCCAACAGATTGAAAATGACAACCATTATGTATTAGAATAAACAGCTATGTACTTCTCGGATTACACAAAAAAGATATAAAGTAGTTATGTAGTTTAATTATTTACGATGTATACATATTGGAAGTTTAATAAACATTACATTTTTCAGAGATTAAGACCGACGTGTACAAAATGTTTTAAAGATACTTTATTCAATATCTTTAATGCATATTATTATTCAAGGCATAACTTGAAATTTCCTTCTAAACACAAAATCCTTGTATTAGAATACTCTGAACTTTTGGCGAATTATTAATATTCTTTCTTTTGTGTTTAGGGAGTTCAGACGTGAGGACTTTTTTTATAGGTTCTATCGACTAAGGCAGGGATTTGTCAAATAACTTTCAGCCCACCTATTAAAAGTTTATATTAGAACTGTGGCCCACAGATACACATCATCTCAAGCGATGAATACTTGTCTTTTGTAACAAATATTGCTTTGGGTAACCGAAATACAACATACACGCATTACTTGCTTACTGCAAAAAAGATTCACACAAAGTCACCGATTCGGGACAAATTTTATGTCCGAACTAACTATAATAATTGTCATCTGTACTGATTCGGTAGGTACGGATGAAAAATATATTGATAACTAGATTATTCTACTAAATGGATAAAGCAGTGATTCGTGATTTAAACCAACAAAAAATATACCTCATTTACTATCATCTTAGCAAGATTTTTATATAACTTGGCATAAGTAAAATGATCCATTTAATGGAATGTCATCTTTAACTTAGTAGACGGAAGTTACATTTCTCGCTACATAGAATCATTGAATAGGTTTCATGGAATATTCTATAGGGCTAGTGTTCCCAGGAATTTTACGGTCAAGTCCTACATTTCATGTGGTAATGCATAAGCGCAGCAACGTCTGTAATTACAAAATATACGACTAACGTTCCCTTTCTATTAATTCGTATCATTCTTGATAGTAAAACTAATTTTAGACTAGAAATTGCTTGGCAAGAATACAATGAAACTAAATAATGTATTGCTAAATGTCCGCATAGCAAACCCTCTTCTATCCTTTGTCATGTCAAACCACAAACCTCTCCAAACACGAACACTTCCATTATACTTCCATCCCATCTGTCTGACGTACAGTCAACTGTATATATTTTGTATACTAGATTATTTGACTTCGACCTCTCAGCCAGCCGCCCACGACAACCTACGAGCACTGAGAAAATAATAAATCAACCTACGAAGCTCTTCACTTATAACAACTATCTTAAAACAAAAGGATAGACTTCAGTCTTTTCAATTTATTTTTTCAAAATATCTGTCTATCAGTAGATAAATTTACAATTCATTTAAATAACTGGGTATGTAAACCTTCTGTTCCTTCTTCCAAAATATCATTTATTTGAGATTTTTAATCATGCATTTAAGATTTTTAAACATTCCTTCGAGAAATTTAGCCTTCCGATGAGAAATCTTTGTCTTTTATCTACTCTGATATTACAATTCCGAATTTTGGACTTGAATTTCGGAGTATGTTAGATTCGAGTTTTAAAATGCAAGATCGAACTAGCTATAATTTGAATTATCTGGGACAAAAGATGGGTTTGACATGATTCTATGTACACCGATAATCCCTCACTGTTACCCCGCCGATGTACACCAATATTGTAAACGGGATATTCCATTTCATTATCTTTTTTTTTCAATAATCTCAAATTATCCATTCAATTAAATTTGTTTGAAATAGAGCTTGCTTACGCATTAAATTTCAAATATAATTAATTCCGATAAAATGTAAATTCTGTACCAAAACGACCGGATCCATTGAAGTTTATAGCAGAAAACGCTCAACCTTTTTGCCGAATTTTCATATTTATAATTTCATAGGAAAGTAAACCCTCAGATTCCAAATTGTTTACTTTTCCAATTACGCTGTTTTAGAAGTACCGAGTAGAGCACCTACTTATCAATCAGCATTGAATTTCTTGGAACACCGTTAAACCTTTCATGTTACTTCGTATTTATTTTGTCTTCTTTTTTAAAAATATTTTTATTTTAATAAGAACATGGTTTGTCTTAGTTATATACCAATATATGTATAGAAAATTTATATAAATATCGCTCATAAATCAGGATGCGATGAAATATTTATTTTTCCTGATACGACACGGTGAGTCATTTTTTACTTTGATGACCAGAATTTGCAATTGACGGATAAGTCTTCTTTTCTATTATAAAATGCCTTATATTTCAATCAACGGATTGAGAAGGCCATCTATGTCTATTCTATCATCTTATATATTCGGATCATACAACTTACCCGTCAAGTGTATTCTTTTTGTATACCTAGTCAATTATTTGTGACAAACTGTGTAATGTAATTTGCTACATTCACTATTTGTAGTCTTTCTAAATTTAATTGATGCTTTATGGTGTTGGATTACCAACCCATGAGTACAGTTAGTAAGTATACTTGCACTACTAAAAAAATATTGATTAATAACCAATTTTTTATACGAGTTTAATCATTTCATTAAAACTAATTTAAGGTCGATATTTATATTATAAATCTCTGTTTAATTAAATAAAAGACAGCGTTGATATTGCGCATCAATTAAATAGTTTTATCAAATAAGAAATTAATCGTGTAACTAACTAAATGAAGTACATATTACTTTCTATACTTATTATATGCTTATCTAGCTATTAAGACCTTAATTTATATAATAATATGTTTGCTAATAACGGCATTGTCGTTCAGTATTAATATAAATGCGATGTTGTTATACTCACAGGAGTCAACGGGAGTGATGTCAGGCCCGTCCTGTGGAGCCAGCATCTTCATCGTGATCGCACCAGGCAGTACGCTGCTGGACACCGACACCTTGAATGTTTTACTTCACAACGACACGCAAAAAACCTTCTTCTAAATTCTATTTGGCGATTATAATCGGGAACCCAGGAGGGCCCAACAGGCTGTTGTCTGAACTGACGATTGCACTATCGATTGGAGTCGGACCACCACGCGTGCGCGGTGTATCTTCGCCTCTCGCATGCGTTTACAATCGCCGCCATTTGCAACAGGAAAGACGTCATTTGACAGTTGACAGGTTAACGATTTACAGTTTTATTGTCGATAGCAATATTTAAATTGATAATTACCGAAATGAAATGAAAGCTAGGGTAAACCCCATTATATAGATAGCTTTTCCAAATAAAAATTGTCTAATATTGTAAAAAATAAATACTTAATAAATATTTATTGGATGTATAAGCTAGAAGCATTTTCTTTTTAACTAACTGCTTTCCATGGAATTAGTTACTTAAATCTGTTACAATATATACTAATAAAGAATACAGATAGAGATTTCGGTGAAGTTATTTATGTAATAAATTCACCGAAATCTGTATTCGTAATAAATTGGAAATAACAATTTGAAATAATAAAACGATGGATGTTATAAATTATTTTATTGAAAATCGTAAATAAATTTACATAAAATATTAATAAATATCATTACATCACGTATATGAACGTTCGTGTTGTATGTGTAGTGTAACTGTAGCGGGCAGCCACGACGCCGCGCCGTTGTATGACTCTTGTATGTGTTGTAGAGAATGTTTGTGAATGTTGTATGTTTGCTACGGAGTGCGGATGTTTAGTATCCAGCCAGCTCAGCGAATGTGGAGTCCATCTCGTCGGCCAAGCTCTTGTATCGGTCCTTGTTAATTCCCAGCTCATCTGAATACATCAATATTAATATTAGCTTCATCGCATCGTTCTCGTATTATTTTTACTATCCTTACTAAGATTATAAATACGAAAGTGAGTTTGTTTGTTTGTTCGTTACCTTATAGCGTCTTAAAAGCTTAACCAATCACTATGAAATTTAGTATACACGTACTAAATGGAATGAAGAAGGAAATAGGCTATTTTTATCCCGGTCAATAAACACTTTCGGATCACATGGTCGATGTCGCGGATAAAAACTACTTATTCTCTAAACTGTTGCGTTAATAATGATTTACAAAATTAATTATTCACTTTATTGCATAAGCAGGATTGCTTTAATTGAAAATGTAATTTAAATATTAAAAACATAGAATACCTTTGAAGCATTGGTCCTCGACGGTAGCAGCAAAGCATAAGACAGGTTAATTACAACACGTAAAGCAGGGCTTATAACTATAGGGATTTCTAAAGGATTGTCAGCAAATGCTCTAGGAGTTAGAGTGTCTACAACTCTAGTTCGGGTAGCGACAATCCCCTAAATATCCTTGAAATGGTTAGGGTAAGTTAGCAAGATATAGAAATTTATAAAGGTCTCGATGTAACCGATAACGAAATCGCTAATGCCCCTGTGCCTGTGCATAGCAATTATCTAATGCATGGATGTACGCATTTTCCATTGAGGACTTTTCGAGAAACGTATCGGGTCGCTAGGTTTTGATTTAATTGGACTGTATGGATCATGTGAATTGGACGGTAATGTCTTAAACTAAGTGCATTATATTGGGTTAGTTAGTATCCTGTGAGCTCGGCGAATGTGCCGTCCAAGTCATCGCATATCGCCTTGTATTTCTCCTTCTCGTTGAACAATGCGTCTGCAAAATTTTGTCATTTGATAATAACTTACGAAAGACCTTCGATATCTTTCCACGCTAAATGAACGAGGAGTGTTTAATTAGATAGTTTATTAAAAAGCTTTGCCATATTAATGAGAAGTCATAACATTCTCTTTGACGGTTAGCTGGTTATTAATCATTAAAAACATTTTTGTAATATCAATAAGTTTTTTTTTCAGAAATTGAAAACCGATTTGAAGAATTATTTTCCCTTTCGTTCTTCTAGATTTAATATTTTAGAATTTGTTTTTAATAAATTGTTATGTCAAATGATTAGTTATTCAAGTCATACCTTCGAGCCTGTCGACTTCCTTCTGCAGTTTCTTGACTGTCTTCTCAGCGTACTCAGCACGAGCTTCAGCTTCCTTCAATTTGCTAGTCAGAGTCTTCAGCTGTTTCTTGAATTCTTCAACACGTTGATTGGCCTTCTCTTCTGAGACTTCCAGAGATTTTAAGGAGTTACCTACTACCTGTTAAATATAGAAATATATAAAATTTGTCTTCTTGTACTATTTTTACAATAGTTATTGGACTGTAGTCCGCATTCACATGCTAAGCATATTCAAAATCCTAACAAATCTTCACCTTTAATTCCTCCTCAAGTTCTGAGATCTTAGCGTCACCAGACTTGACACGATCCTCAGCGACTTCGAGCTCGTCTTCAACGAAGGCCAGCTTACGTGAAACCTGTACATAACAACAGTTTACTTGAAGCCATAACATTGTTAACATCTAAAGGTGTAAATAAATTTAAGTTTAAAAATGGATTTTTTTATCGTTAAGTAAGCAAACGAGTTAATGGTCCACCTGACGGGAAATGGCTAACATCGCCAACAAAGAAACTAAAAAACTCTAGAATTCTACTGGACTCTACTATTTAATAGTGAGTCTTATCAAGCAGTCGCCAATTAATGGTTCCTTATAGTAGTACTATTTTAATAACCTCATCAGATTTGCCGTCAGCGTCCTCAGCCAGGAGACGGGCCTCCTTCAGCTGGTTTGTGAGCTGGTCCATGCGCTCCTCGTCCTGCTGGGCTCTGTTCTCCAATACTTTGCACATACTAGAAAATACAAAACATAAAATTTAATTCTTTAAGCAAATTAAATTATTTATTTTGCAAGAACTCCATCTTATATTTATATGGTGTAAACACCAATTGAGAAATTGTTAATATATATTATGTTAATTGAGAAAGATGAAACAAATGGACGAACATATATATACATATAATAAATATAAATAGAATCATTTCTTATCATCATTCTGCACAAAAGAGGGACCCTAACGAAATTTTTGTTAGTTTAATAGAAAATAACTTAAGATCTGGAATATAATTTTTAAATTAGGCTTACCGGTTGTTCTCATCAGCCGACTGCTGGGCTTCAAGAAGTTTTTGCTGGGCTGTGCCAGACCTTTCCTCAGATTTCTCCAAATCCTCCTCAATCTGTTGGACTTTCCTGTTGAGGGAGGCGACTTCAGCCTCGGTGGCGGCGAGCTGCTTTTCCCTCTCCTCCAAGTCTTTGTTGGCCTGGTCCAGTTTGTTTTTGTTAAGAGTGAGATCCTCTTCCACTTGTGCGAGTTTTTTCTGGAGTTCACGGACTTCCTCATTGACCTAGAAGAAAGTATGTGCTTTATTAATACACATAACTGGCTTACAATTTTTTTAATAATAATTATACTTAAAAAATAAATAGAAACAAAACATGACAATCAAGATAATGGCGTTGCATTATGTACAATTATATTTACAAGCTTACCTTCTCAGCACGGAGGTTGGCATCCCTGGCCTGCTGTTCGCAGGTGTCTGCCTTGTCCATGGCGTTATCCTTCTCCAGCTTCATCGCCTGCATTTTCTTCTTGATGGCGTCCATGGTGGCGGCTTTGTGACTTTACGGTCCGGTCGAAAAAATACGCCAGTTACTGGCCTGTAAATGTGAAGAAAATAAACAATTATGGGTTATACTTGTATATACAATGCAAATTACTTTAAATCTATATGGTCTGATGTTGATGTTATAGATCACAATAGGTATTGGGGTAATAAAAATATTTGTACAATTTTTTTTGTACAGATGTGGATTCGAGTTAACGACAAAACTCAAACAGGGTTTTGCTTCCCTAATAACTTGATCGATTCTTTTCATCTGTGAATAGAACATGATTTTTAAAGATTTAAGTGTAAGCTTCAGCCCTATCCCATTATTGGAAATGGCGCGGCACATACTTGTCTCGTAATTCTATCTACCATAATGTTATTTCTGTCTTTATTTCCTTTATACATATATAGATTGTTTGTCTGCGTTGAAAACTAATCTCTTTCATCATCAACACTGTTTATAGAGTACATAAAACATAAAGTTGTGATTGCATGTATAAAACTATATTTATGCTCCAAAGACAATAAATTCATGTTTTGTATTATTTAGTAATATTTCAATAATGTACCGTGATCTGATTGAAGTTTCTAGGCTTCCTGAAGGAGAAAAAGGTCTATTTTTCTACAGAAATCTTTGTCGCCGAAATATCAACGTCGCCCTAGTGTTTTACTATTTATTGCTGTAAGTATTGGCACCCATACAAATATTCGTGTATTACGCTCCCATACAATTCAAAACAAATCTCTCAACACTTTTATAAATACATCTACGTTCCTGTTACGGTAATTAGTATTTAATTAGGTAACATGTTGAGATAAAAAAAAAGATATTTTTATTGCTTCTCTCAGTGTTTAAATAAACTTTTGCTATTGTACTTAGTTTTATTTAAAATCTATTTCATATTTAATACATAATTGTCTTATATACATATATAAGAGTTAAAAAAGTGTTTTAAGTTTTATGCCTCTTGAGTTTTTTCAATTAATTTAAATTGATCGTGGAAAAAACATCACTGAATGTGTTGAAAGAATGTGATGAAGAACAACACATTCTTTCAACATATTAATAATTCTTTTTTTAAACTATGCGTCGAAGTTATGGTATCACTATGGACGTCTCTCAGAAACTGGGACTGTTCGCCGAAAGCACGTTGTATACCAAAGAAATGTAACTTTTACTTCTCCTATATATAACAGTTTTAAAAAATATTATATATTTTTCTTAGTATTAAATATGGAAATTGAAAATATGATTTTTTTTTAAATACATGCAAAGTATGTCGATATTCTTTCTCCAAAAGACATCTGAACTCAAATGAACAAAGCGCTAAGTGTTAGATAGAATTAATTAAGAGTTACAAGGGTTACAGAAACAAATTCACGTTAGTTACCATACAGATTCATTTACATTTCTAATTTAGATCATTTATTAGGTACAAAATATCATATAGCAATATGCGTTGGCAAGCAGCCAATCGTGGCAGATGCGGCCCAGCATAATAATTATCGGTGCTAAATTATATTTGGTCTTAAATGTGCTGTACCAAACACACCAGTTTCGGGGAGTGCGTTTTGTTTATTATGTCAATAAGTTATGGGCCTTGTTATTTAATAATTTAGGATAATTTATTAAGTTGCGTCCGTAAGGGACTAAACAAGTATGGCATATGCTTACATCTATTGTCCCTGTTTACACTTTGTCTATTACTTACAGTTTATATGCATAAACAGGATTTCTTCCTTAACCAAAAAAAAAAAAAACATTGCTGTCTATTACCATCCCATATAATACGCGTACCATATACCTAATTTCAGGGTGCTTGGTGATGAAATTAAGCAAGAGATAACAATGAAAAAAATTTTTACAATTATAATGTTTGTAACCATGTTAAATTTCTACTTTCTTAAATTACTCTAAAAAGGAAGAAGTTCCCAATTCAACTTTTTTTTGTGTGTGTATGAGTACATATATAAGTAATTTCACTAATTATGCACGATTTTTGTTGTGTGTATTTTTTTTTTGGTACAAAATTGTAAATTATTTTCTAACAATCATTTGTTTTTATTGTTGTTACATAAAAGAGATTCTCAATTCATATGTATTTTTGTTTGTAAATGTTATTAGGCACGTCGCGTAACATACAGAAACAAAAATATTTCTTCTATCTTCGAATTTTAACGGACTTTGATAGTTACGTTTGATCAATTGATTTGTTTAATTAAATATTATTTTAAGTAGGTATTTTCATTTTACAGTACCTATAAAACTAACGACGATGAAAAATAAGATTGATTTATGAAATATTATAAATATTTATGTATGTACTGTTTCTTAGTAAATTCATTACTTGAAGATTTATATCATTTATTATTATTTAGATTATTAGATATATATATATATAATAATTATTTAACATATATATATTATATTATTTAACAATATTTTTATTCCTGAATTTCAATCAGGTTGATCATATAAAAAAAAAACAAATTGAAGATCACATTATTTAAAAAAAGCTTCTGGTTCAATTACTGAAATTTGGAACATTTAATATTATGTCACGAACAAACAATATTTATTCTACAGCATTATACGTACGTACTCTCTTTTCTTTTGTATTTAATATAATTTTGTTTACGTTCAATATACCTATATGATATTTGTTTACATCTCCAAATTACACGTCTGTAACGAAGGGCCTGTCAGCGATGTACCCACACAAAAGTAACACAATATATTCATTTTGTATACGCATTTATAAGGAAAGTATACAATGTTATTGTTCGCCGATGGCGTTTGAAGGGTATTTATCTGAACATAGGCATTAAACTACAATTACTATGAGTAGATCGTTGTTTTACCTATAAATAATTAATTCACAATTCATACTTCGTTTATTCTAATATTTATTTTCTTAACAAAAATTTTAAATAGAAATACTATTATTATATTAGCCGTTAATTGCCCACTGCTGGACATAGGCCTCCTCTATAAGGGGAGATTCGCCAATAGTTACCATGCTTGACAGGCGAGTTGTCAACCGTAGTCAGCCTTTAATAATGTATTAAGAGGGACGCTGTTACCCACACCGTTGACCACACGAAATGTACCCTATAATCAGATCAGGTCTTCTCCACGCGGTCCCGTTGATTACATACTTTCAATGTTTACTCGTTCCTGCATTGCATACAATATGGCATTGACCAAACGTATTGAAATGGAAGTATGTATGTATGAACACCAACAAGTATTTCCTTGATACCTATAAATTTTAAAAGTAAACATTATTTAACATTACCTAAAAGAAATAATTTAAAAACTTTTCTTCCACGGTTAGGTAAACGTTTACACGTTAAAATAAACGGATATAGTGGCGATATAGGAACGTTTAAAACTAGCTGGTGCTTCAAACTATTGCAAAAATAACGAACGTGTATGACGTCGGTGGACTATTCTTGGAGTGCTGTCAAGACAGATATTGTAAGCAGAAATAAACAGGGTTTCACACATGCACAGTTTAAAAAACTGCGAACAGCTGTTCTATGTTGTACTGAAATAAGTTGAAGAGATTACTTTAACTGTATCAAAGACGTTAGAAAAAATACTTAATTTTTTTTATTCATGTCATGTCATTCTGGAAAAATAAAGGATTGAAAAAAGTTAATCACGCGGAATTTCCTACAATGTTCACAATGGTTAACCACAAATTGATGTACATTATAAAATGCAATTTTATTACTAACTATATATAATATATTATGTGTTAGTTTTATCCTGCGCCTTTACCCGCGAAAATTGCTGACTACATAAAGTATATACAGTATCTTATGTAGCAGCTCCGCCACCAAATTTCCGCGTATCAAATTTCATTCAAATGCGTCCAATAGTTTTTGCGTGAAAGCGTAACAAACTCCGATCAAACTTTCAGGTTTATTATATTAATAGGATATGTATGTTCTAATTTGACAAATACTAATACCAAGGACTATCCATCATCAGCGCAGGTGGGTTACTCTTGAAATAAATCCCAATAAATCGATATTGAAATTGAGTTTTGCAAATCGAATTGCAGCAATAGCGACATAATAGAAGAAAAGAAGAGAAAAATGAGATTTTTGTTTGTAATGAATACCAAACCATATTCCAATATTAGTTGTTAATTATCCACTGCTGAACATAGGCCTAAAAGGGGTTTTGTCAGTAGTTGCCACGCTTGGCAGGGGGGTTGGCAATGGCATTTAGGCTTTGGTGATAATTTAAGAGGGCACTGCTGCCGATCCCTCGACCATTAAGTTTTCTTATCCGCCTCTTACGACACCCATGAGAAAGGAAGGGGTGGCCCATTTTATGCCGAGACTATACGCCACTGTGATAACTAAACTCAAAGAATTATTCGATTTTAAAAATTCTTTCACCCATAGACAGCTTTGTTACCAACGAGTAAGATGGGCTATATTTTATTTAAAAAAGAACCGTGCTAAACCTATTCGGATCGTTAGTAAATAAGTCTAATTCTTTAGACTTAATTAATTTCAATTCTAATAAATAAAAATAATATAATTAGATAGGTATAGAAATAACAATACTTCGATTTTAAAAATCAAGTTCGTATGTACACAGATTGTCTGTCTATGCCATCCATCTACAGGCGTGACAGCCAAATTTCTTTAAGAATTTCACTTATTGAAATTTTTACTTAAAATTACGAAAAAAAAAAACAAATACCCAATCCGACAACGTTGCTACTTACTTCTAAGTTTTATTACAATCTCTAAAATATATAACTGTGTGTAAATATACATATATTTTCTGCGCAATTTTTGCTCGAATCAGTCCCCGTTGGTATATCCCCGCTATAAAACGTATCGTAAATATATCTTGAGTACCAAATTTCATCAAAATACGTTCGATCGATGCCTATCTCTATTTTTCTTACCTTCATATACTTTATATATTGTGTATAATTACTATACATATATATAGGTGTCTTTATAATATCAACTGAACATAGTATGTCTATACAAATATAAATTTTATATATATATGTGTATATAATAGTATATACCTTTTTTATTCATCTACCGTACTCGTTTACCTCTCTATTACTTTTTTTTATTACAACTTAGAATGGCAAACAAGCTGACGGCCCACCTGATGGAAAGTGGTAACCGTCGCCTATAGACATGAGCAGTACCATGGACATAACAGAGTATACTGTTTCGCCCATGGTACCCCCCATACGTTGCCATTCCTGAGGACTCAGGTGTTATTCCTCTGTACCCAGTAAATTCACGCCATATCCCACCCTTCAAACCGAAACACAGCCGTGCAAACACAACTAATTTACGGTTGAAACACAAATGGGACAGAGGTATCCAAGCAATCGACTACTACCTAGGGTTGACTGGGAGAGAATGCTTTGTAACTAAAGCAACACGACATTATATTCCTACTGACTACTACTAAGTTAATATTCCTTACAGAAGAAATTGATGCCTTGTTATCTAAGTTCTTAACTTATAATAGCTTTGTAAGTATAGTTTATCTTAATAATCAGTACTCGTTAAGTAAAAGTTTAAGTAGAAGATGGATCTTAAAGTTTTAATGACTGATCAGAATAATAAATATCTTATACCCTTTTGCATCTGATATTTTACGTGTATGATAATTGATCGAGCCATTGGTGCCAAGAAGTAACAATCCAACTCGTTTTCATAATATTTTATTTAGTAGCTGTAATTCGCGGCTCTGCCCGTGTGAATCAGTACATAAACAATACACAAGTATCCGTGCTAAAGTAATATAACCTTCCTTTGTATCAACTTTCATTTAAATCTGTTAAACACTTACATCAGCCTCTGTAACAAAAGATGTGTCGTGTGGACATCTAGAGGGGCATACATTAAACTCACCAAAATTTTTTACATATGGCAACTTTAAATCCTTTGTTCAAGTTTGAAACGCTCCTAATATTTTTTGTTGCTATTATTTTTCTATTTAGTATAAAAAAAAACCTAAACTATCGCCTAATTAAAATAGAAAAGATTCTAAAATTTTGAAGAGCTATAAGGAATTTTTTAAAATTAGGAATTCCCACTTGTACCCTACAATTTCCTTTTTAATATCTAATATACAAAAAATACGAGTTCCTGCCTAAACTGTCAACGTATTATAAAACTATACTGGGTGTGGTAGACTTGAAATACTACACATAAAAATTCCATTTTACAATTATAGCCTACGCTTCAATTTTGTCAACAACTTATAAATACGGAACCCTAAAAAGAACCAATATATGTAATCTAAGTACGTAAACATATACTATAAAGGGTCATTATCCTATTTTATCAAACTAAGACATTCCATTTATAAAAATATTGCATATTTTCATAAATATAATGTCTTAATTCTTCTGCCGAAATGCTTAATGCAACTTGACAAGCAAAAACAATGATATAATTATAACTTTTATAATTATCAAAAACTTGAAATTTGACAGTCGGGTTTTGTGGAATTTCTATTTATTATACCAGTACGAAGAAATGTTATTTAGCTACTTTCGTATAAGTGCTATTTTTAATATGCTATTTGTTATTCAAAAGCACTCTTTAAGGGAGTAAGTATTATACCTATGTGTTCGGTATTCGAGTATGCTTGAAAGTCTGTTACCAAAAATAGCTTAAAGGCTAGTATGTTACTGAAGTTTCAAGTAAATATATACAAACCTGAGAAATTCAAGATATTTAACCTATAACTTTATTTTTCCAGACAGAGATTTTCTATTAAATTACTTTGTACGGATACACATATGCCTACTCTACTCTCGATTATTAAATTACATAATGGACATAAAAGCATAACATATTAATCCTTAAAAATGGCAACGCATAGGCAGTATCATCAGTATCGCAGTATATACTGTGATATCCATGTCTAGAGACGAGATTATGAACACTGCTACCTGATGAAAAATGGATGCCACTTCCCATCAGGTTAGTACATCCCGATGTTACTAGCATCCCACATTATTGAAAAAAAAGTAAAAAAATTAGAAATTGAAATCCATCAGATTTATTTTTCAATCACTGAATAAAAATTAGCAAAGTGGCATTTTTTATAATTTTAACAATCTACGTATTATAAACATAAACACTAAGATCTTAAATTGAATTTAGCTTATACTACACTGAGAAACCTGGTTAACCCATATATTTCTTAGATAGACATTTTACCGCGCAAACTACGCCTTTGAACCGTTGCCAACATTCCAAACTCGAACCGAACGTGTCACCCAAGCATTCGGTTACTTTTCATAACTTAAACACTTGTATTGATGCTTATCTTTTATATTATCAATAATTAAATTTAATTTCTAGAGAGTTCGAGAATCGGATAATATTTAGAAGGTTCAACCTACTTTTGAGGGATCAATGTACTGCAATTAGCTTTATTCGCAGAAGAATTTTATCGTACTGGTCAAAGCACTATAATTTTCCAAGTAATATTTCTATTTAGAAATTATTATTTTCAATTAGACGTCAATATATTAATTTTAGTCGATACCTATATATATAATTAATGATTTAACAAAATGTGAATTTTAATAATTATCACCTTTAAATATTCTTAGTAGTTGAATTAAATTAATATTCTGTAGATACCTACAATATTTATAGATATTTTTTTCTATCAGATAAATAAGTGTGTGCATTTTTTTAAATAATAATATTACAAAAATTGTATATATGAATTTGAAAAATATTTTACAGTAAATTCAAAATATATCTATAGTATATTAGCTAATAATATACGACAATTTTAGATTCTTCATATTACAGTAATTATTTTTAATTAATTGATATAATTTAACAAAATATTCAGAAGGTTATTCATGTCAAAAATCTACCAATCTACCTATCTATAATAATACAATACAAGGTATAAGTATCCGGTGTGGTATTACTATCGGCGTCCTAATTACTTGATATATGGGACATGTCTGTGTCTAAATAAAAATTGAAACCAGTTTCCTCATCTTGCTAAATAAATACTGATGTTGGAGCGCGCATGCCGCAAATAGGTTACACGCAAGCCGGCGCGGGCGCAGGCGGGCGTGCGTGGGCGCAGACGGCTACGCGCGGGGATCACTATTTTCAGCGAGGCCGCGCTCGCGTTGAAATTCGAGTCACAACTGTGAAAAACGCGGCCGAGAACAGACTGCAATTTTCATTTTCTACCGCCCTTGACGGACCTCAGTAATACGATTCACTTTAAGAATTGCGCTGAGAATCAAGTGAAATATGTAGCTGACTTTCAATAAAGGGGTTTTAACAAAATTAATCAAAGTAAAACCACAGAACGATATCACCAAATATGTAACCGAAGGTGAACATCCAGAAGCTTGGATACTCCACACATCACGCCACTATCACAAACTGTCACCGTCACAAACAGCGTCCGGCTAATTAACGTCGGAAAGTTTGGGGTCCAATGGTGGCGAGGTCCGGTCGAGTATCCAAACTGCTGGTGCGAGGGTGCGCGGGGGTGCGCGGGTGCTGCACTCACCTCACGAGCGGGCTGTTCACACGGCGGAGCGACACGCACTGCGCTGCCGCCCTAGCGGTTCCACCGCGCGCCCGCCCGACTATTTTCGGTGCCAAAAATCCAGGATTCCGATCGGCCATCGTAATCGCGACGGATATCGGGACCGCCACCCGTCACGCTCTCACACATTGCTTGCCCACTGTTTATACAAGACCGCTACGAGTGATCCTCGGACGATAACGACAGGAGATATCTCCTGATGGATGGATCGATGCTCTCTCGCTGTCAATGCCGGATATATCAAACGCGTGCCACTGTCTTGCTCTCGCGCATCACCTTGATTCACAAGCGTTGCAAATTTCAGGGATTCTTCTAAAATCCCGGTTAGATACAACCCGATACCGTCTATAATTAACATCATAGATATTGAAACTCTTTCAATCTAGATAGATACTTTGTTTAGATTAACTCAACATTATAAAAATGTAATGCAATGTCCATTGTTTCTGCCTAGCCTAATGGGAGACAAGCGTAATAGATGTCATACATACATATATGTATATATGTATAAAAATGTATAAACTTGTAATTTTTAAATAACTTTAGTTTGTATACCTTAGATATGTCACTTATAATTTTTTTTTTGTTTAAAACTAACATATAATCTAATTACCCAATAATATGTACCGTAATTGTTTATTTTGATACATTAAAATAATTATATTTCTAAGTATATTTCATAATGAAATTATTGAAATCATAATATTGACTGTAATTATAATATTAAATGGCAATTAAATAAAATTACAAAAAAAAACATATCCTGACTGACTCACACCGACTGATCAAGACCGCCATTGTGCAGGGAAACATGATATTTGATAGACATATTCCTTTTAAAACAAAGCGACTTTAAAAACAGGGTTTTACAATTCGCTTATATTTTTTGTGCGTATGTTATGTAATATCTACACCAATTCTGAAATTAGATACTTTATTTATTTTGATAACTCCGTTTACAATCGACAAAGTTTACTCTTGTGTTAGTAACATATTACGTACAGTAATTTTGTCATGTTTGAAGCGCTGTTATTTATAGAACAATATCCTAATTGCAGTTCATATTTGATGTAAATTATAAAAAAAAAGCCTTCTTGAAAATTTCCATTGTAAAAAAATATCGCAGGTATAAGTGAAACTACTCTACATGATATTAAAATATTTTGCAATGATATTGGTTTAATTTTAATAAAAATAAATATATTTATGGTTAAAATAAATAATACCAATCTATATGTGAAAATTTAGGCGGAAACGTGGTAGTCATTTAGCCACTCGTTTTCATTACGAAGTGAACATATAAGTAAAGGTATTATTTGCCTCTATGTTTTATCGTTTGAATCCTGTCATTGTAGTTAAAATTATCTGTCTCTTACTAATATAATTAAATCTTACTCTCTTTAATATAATATAAAACTACACATGAGAAATAATCTCAATAAAAATAATAAATGAGACTAAAAGATGTCAAAACAATCATTTTATGAAATTTTGTCTTACTGTAAATTCGGGTAGCACGCATAAATGACTGCACCAAATTGAATATAGTTTTCACAGACGTATTCTTGAAAGTTGAACTTAAAATTTGATGTATGTTTTAATTTGTTAGTCCATTTGTAAGTGGTGTACTTCGTTGGTTTTCCTACGTCTGAAAATCACGCGTATAGTGGACAGATAATGGCTGAGAATCATCAGATTAGGATGATGAAAGTAGCGGAAAAAAAAACTAATACTATAAACATAAATTGACTCGGTGTATTTCTCAGGCACAGATAACATTACTACCACAGGCACCGTTGGAGCACAAAATGTGTATTTACTATGTGTGGAATAATAAAAAAATAAGATATAATTATAGAAGGTAGTAAAAAGGAACTTAGTTGAACTAGACTTATCTACCACGACGGTCCCCGAATATTTTTTTTACGTAACTTAAAATGGCAAACAAGCTGATGGCCCACCTGATGGAAAGTGGTAACCGGTGCCAATAGACATGAGCCGTACCAAGGATAAACAGAGTATACTATTTCGCCCATGATACCGCTAATATATTGCCATTCTTAAAGATTCAGGTGTTATTCCTCTGTACCTTGTACCTTGTAAATTCACTACCATATCTCACCCTTCAAACCGAAACACAGCCATGCAAACATAATTGCTTCACGGTAGAAACACGAATGAGACAGAGGTGCCCAAGCAAACGACTTTTGTACAAAGTCTCCCTCTGGTAAATATAAATGACGTAGTATTATGTAAGCTTCTAAAATATTAGTTCTGACGTAGAAATACAGTAAATATTTTCATGCTGAGCGATGCGTGGTCCGAAGTTGCGCATAGAAACGCTTTCATATGTGGGAGGAAGGTAGCAGTGATATAATATAAACATAAATAGAGAAATCTATTATGTCTACAATAAATATCCAAAGAGTATTATTATAAAACTTAATTTATCGTAAGGGTATTATTAAAAAACGGGTGGGTGATTATGCATCTTTATGCTTGTTGTATAGGGAACTAAACGTCTAAATGTATTAAAGTTGTATCGGCAAGACCGCTTGTTTCTTGTAAATAAATACATAAAAACAAATTAAATACAAATGATAATAGGTATATATTATTACTTTCAGAAGGAAACTTTACACAAAACTCAGTTGTGTTCACATGGCTATGTTTCAGCTTGAAGTTTGATATGGCTGTCAACGTACCGAGGCGTATTATAGAGGGGAAAAGCATTTTTAGTAATAGGATCTCCTACGCGAAGTAACAGCTCTATTGCTAGCGAAATAGCCTACTAGATCAACTTCCACGTGATTCTTACCATGAGGTAAACCTTCCTCATGGTTTACCTCCATTTTTATCCCATTAAAAACATTTTTGTCATGGAATGATAATGCCTGTAATGTTCATGATACTATTTATATCTATAGGCAACACTGACCACTTCCCATGAGGTTCACATATTATAATGTTAGCTAGTATTTACACTACAACTTTAAACTACAACTTTTTAAAATGTTCCTTATATTGTTGTTTAGTAGTAGATTGTGAAAATTAAATAATTTGAGAATTGCTGATGCTCATAAATTGCTATCTATTCAATCTATTCAATCGTGACAAACACGAGAATAAGCTATATCTTTTGTGAGAATAATTATTAAAATTGATTCAGAATTAATGAAGATATCAATTAATATATATTATAAACAAAATAATGCGAATAGAACACCTCTTTTTATTTATAATGGCTCAATGAAATAAAAATAAACACTTAATGAATCTCAAATCATAATAAAATGCAAATAATACTTACGCGTCTCATATTTGATAGAATATCAGACGAGTAAGTCATAAACCTGAGTTGCATTGGACAATATCCAATAATATATATTGCTCAACTTAATAAACGAACTCATAAACCCTTGAACCAATAACAGTTCTAATATATAGGTAGCTATATAAATAGAATTTAATACACAATATAGGGTTCTGACAACATTGGTATAAAGGGGTTCTGTGCTCACGCTAGAATTATTAGGTCCCCAAACTAGAATGAAAACGGAATTTTTAAATGTGTGCCAGTCTAAGAATACAATGTACATTTTTGAAATGGCCAGAGCGCCCTATAAAACAAATAGCGGTTCCCACTGGAAACCATCGTGGTTAATTCTCGTGGAATTCTTCACGATTGGCTAACTGACCTGCTTTCATTCTCAGCTATCACCGCTCACTGGTGCCCTGTCAACGTATACCGATAGCACAGGACTTCCTATTCTATTTTAATCATTAAAAAAAACATAGTAGTCTAAAAAAACTTGGTACCCTATATAAATTACGCCTTTAAAAATTGTGTGTCTATGTATATTACAAGGACGATAATATTTATGTAAAATCAACTTGTATTTTGCATAAAAAAAGTGAAATGTTTTCAAGGTTCTTTTTTTCTATACAACTTAGAATGGCAAACAAGCTGACGGCCCACCTGATGGAAAGTGGTAACCGTCGCCTATAGACATGAGCAGTACCATGGACATAACAGAGTATACTGTTTCGCCCATGATACCCCCCATGCGTTGCCATTCCTGAGAACTCAGGTATTATTCCTCTGTACCCAGTAAATTCACGCCTTCACAAATTAAGTAAATTCAAAATTTGGCAATTAATAAACCTCTTAATAAACAAACTATTTTCTGCACTGCACTGCACGCACTAACATATGTAGATATTACTACATACATACAAGTTTCTTTATTCCATCATTTCTTTTAAATTCTAATTTTAGACATACATCTAAATCTGTTAAATTTAAATGTATGTCTAAAATTAGTCCTTTTTGTGTCTTTTATCGCATATATCAAGAAGAGTGTTCAGAGGAGTTATTCAGATTAATACCAACTGCCGAATTTCATTACCATACAACCCGCCAAACTACATACCTAATTTTATCCTGACAATATGAATGAGTGGTTATTCTGTACCGTAGGTTTCTATAAACATTTTCGTCTATGCACACTCAGAGTATGTAACCAACTTCCAGCAGCAGTATTCTCGAACAGATACGACATTGAAACCTTCAAGGAAAGAGTCAGATTCGAATTTACTATATTATTATATTGTCTAAGAAAATTTTTGTTTAACTTTCTGGTGACGGAAAACACCAATAAAAAACCGAATTTATCCAAATGATAATGGTAGGCTGTCGTCCCCTGTCATGTTGGATACTAATATGATCCGCAAATTGTGGGCATATCTGTGAATATTATTCACAGATATGCCCACAATTTGCGGATCATATTAGTATCTACCTACTTCAAAATTATATTCATAATATATATACTTAGTGTCTGTCCATGTAATTTTTTTTATACCACTGAGGTGGCAAGCAAGCATACGGCCCACCTGATGGTAAGTGGTTACCGTAGCCTATGAACGCCTGCAATACCAGAGGCATTACGCGCGCGTTGCCGACTAAATTTATTTTTTTAATTTAAATTAAATTAATTTATTTTTTGTAAAAGAAAGGAAACTCTTTTTACAAAATAAAACAATGTTAATACAAAATGTGTTTTATTATAGAATGACAGTCATTAAAGCATTGAAAATTGGAGAATGGAAATTGATTCCTGACAGCTCAAGGTTTTATAGATTCAGAAATCAGTTTCACTGACCGTACTTCATTGGGATATCTAAGCTAAACAGTAACTATGTAAGTAGTAAGCGCTCATTAGTTAATAAGGTATAGGTACCTAATTCGGGACATGGAGAATGAATTAGCTTAAGTACGTACAATGAAAATCACATACAAAATCTATTGCTAAACAAGTATAAAACCTATTATAATACTTGTAGTGCCTTATAGAAACACAAATCGTTACATAACTTCATAAGATTGTTTACAAGTAATGCAATTAATAGTTTATCTAAATTTAATATATTAAAATGGTGAAATAAGGTGTCACTTTATTCATAAAAACGTCATATACTCGTACCTAAAAAGATTACCAAAGGCCAGTGACTTATTCCAGATATCTATAGAAAATTGTGTTACAATATGATCGCAAATTACTGATTGACCGCTTCTTTTAAAAAATAACATCTCCAGTGTTATTATTACAACATTTTTTAAGATAAATTTTACGTAGAAATTCTGAATCAAATTTTAGCTACACTCAGTCAGCTTTGATCATTATGTATTAAAAAGTAACAAAGAAATTTCATACAGTTGTGATATCTAAATTAAACCCATATCTGAGTATACTTCTAAGAAACCTTTTCCATTAAATTATATTTTAAATATTTTCACAAGGAAAAACTATGCATTTTTTGTAATAGTATCATTGGGCTTCACGTTGGTCGGAATAAAATCCTGTATTACCTACCCATAAGTTATTAAAAAAAATCGTCTCTTTGGAACTCAATTCTTAAGACTCCAGAAAAAAAAATATTTTCATTTTCAGTATTTCTGAATTAAAGCAAAAAGTTAATGGAAGTTATTATACGTTTTTATGAATAATGCGACAAACAATCGGCAGTGAGTATTGTTATTATTATTGTTAATTATACAAGTTTTATTTTATTAGACCATAATAAATATTGTTGTATTAAAAAAAAACTTTTATTTATTATATTGAAATCATATGTAAGAAAACATATTACTACTTTTATTGGGTATATTTATATAAATATAAAGCTCAAAGCTGTTTGATTAACACGTATGTAGTATGGAGGCATGGATCTCATTGTTATATAAAATTATATGTATATACAATGTACCACATTTTTGTAAACTAGCGGAAATACTTTTGTCTCCTTGTTTGCGTACGGTGTATGTATGAATTTTATATTTAAATGACACAGCATATTGGCATAGCTATCAGTAGGTATATTTACCTAACTGACGGACAAATGTAAGCTGTGTAAAATTAAATTACAGTAATTAGCTATTTACCAACGATATCTAATTGTTCAATTGTATTTACATACATTAGATATTTTGAGCCAATAATATGCAGGATTCACTTTGAAATAACGTTAGGTCGGTCACAGATTGAAAAACTTGGTACGAAATAATTTTCATATATTTTACGTGGTTGAAAAATTTCTCACACCTTATTGTTGTATATTGTAGTGTAATTGAAAATGGGCACACCTATGGAAAGACCTTTCTGTCCGTCTATCACAGATAATGCTTTACATTAGATATTTAAAAAAAATTAAGAAGAAGGATCAAGAAGAAAAAGTCTGAATTTTTTTATGCTTATAACTACTTATAGAACACTGTCATCGAATTTCGCTCACATGATCAAAAGTTTTTATTTTTTGTTTTAATAAAAATAAAATTTTAAATATATTTCAATTTAACAAGCCTAATAATCTGTAACCGACATACTATATCATTTAGTTATTAATGTCACATTATGATATATAGCTAAATAGTTTGTACAAATTTCAAAAATTACATTTACGATCTATGATTTTTTTGAACTCTAACAAGGATAATTTTATGAACGTACAGACAACAAGTTTGGACATAACTTGCTTTTCATATCACTCAACAATCCAAAACAATACATGTTCCCATTAATTTTTTTACACGTAATATATAGGAGTTAATTAGTTCCTTGTAGGAATTGTTTGAAGATGCAGTAACTCATAATATAGCTAATTAGATTACATTGTGACAAAAAAATCTTATAAATATTGCAATATTGATGCAAATAAAAAATATATAAAGCATGGAACTAAAAGGTTGGAATGTGATTTTAGAACAGCGATTAAAGTAGGCACTTCATAAGATCATCCAGATGGCAGCGTACTTTCTCAAAATCAGTTCAATACCTAGACAAGACTATCAGACAAATAATGTTGCCATATCAATAAAAGGATGTAATTTTAAACTTTATAATTGTAAAAGATGTATCTGTAATGTCCTTAAAACTTGAGATAACTAGATTACCTATCTTACTCTGTAATAAAAATTTTGGCATATTTTTAATCTCAGTTCTTGCGAGCAAATTGTATAATAAAAAAGCTATAAATGTAATATTACTGTTCTGTAATAAACTACAAAAATTTTATTGCAAAATTATATTTTATGCGCATGTGAAAATTTACGTGGCAAACTTTAATTAATCCAAACTCAAACAGTTTTTATTTGCACGCTTTACGTTATGTTATAATGAAAATAAATGTTATACTTACTGCTTTTTCATTTACATCTTTATTTTTAATAAACATATTAGTCCTCGAAAACCATGGGATTTCCCCAAAGAACCGACGCAGCTGTCTGTGACTCTAATAATTTAATTGTTAATTAAATTTTTGAATAGCAATTTGATATTTTTATCCTTTACGTCATCTTGGACTTTGACGGAATAAAATGTATGTGCATATAGTTTCTTTGAATAAAACATAATTAAAATGTAAAGTAACATATAACTAACTCGACTAGAGTCTGTTAATGTCCAATAGGAAAATCAATTAATTAATTCAATGTTTCTATTTGTTAATCATTTCATTTATTGTGTATCGCTGATAATTTCGATAAAACATTTACCTTTTCATTAAATTCTATTGAAATAGACTGTAAGCTTAGATTATACACATAGAACATCGAGTCTTAAAAACGAGTCAACTTTTTGTCAGCAACTTGTCAAATTAGCTGTCTCGTTTTTTTTCCAGTGTTCTATATACTTACGCACAAAATATATCTTGAAGTATATATATTTAAATATTAAATAAATAAAATGAGTTTTTACGCATTAAAAAGATGTAATAATTATAAAACAAAATAAATATAGAAGTTATAAAGGAAACACTCATAACTATTTATCACGCAAAGTTGTATAAAAAAGTTGAACCGTTTTTCTCGAAGCTTTTATATGGAGACACTCTATCTAAATAATCTAAGATTGTGAGTTACAACCTGATAGTCTCATCAATCAAGACGTTACAAAGCGCTCGTTCTCACGGTGCACGGTGCAAAGTATACTCAGGAAGCGGCGTACAGTCCTCAAATCAACGCTGCCAATACCACCAGCAGCCGCCAGCCTCTTCGACCAGCGTGGCAGTGGTCTCCTGCCTCTTAATACCCGGAGAGGTCAGCGAACGTTTGGTCCACTTCTTCCGCAATCGCCTTGTACTTACTGCGCTCTTCTATCACCTCGTCTATTAGGAATGTTAGATTATTGTTAGTGTGTTAGACTTTTATTTAGGAGTTAGAAATATTACAGTTAGAGTTAATATTACACACAAATTAATATAGTAACAATATAGTACTCATATATTAAATATCAGAGTTCCATTACGTTGTTTATTATTTGGATGATTGGTTGGATTTTTTCTTATTTTATACAGATCTCTTATCTCTCTCTTTATTCTCTCTCTCTCTCTCTTATACAAGCTAAATGCAAATTCCATATACTCAGAAGATGTATTTTTCCCCCTAACAAATTAAATATCAAATTTCAGTTTGATGCGTGTCAGCACAGCTTATTAACTCGTTTTTTTTATAGATAGCAACGCCTACAAATAATGAGGTTCAAACGTGAGGGTCACAATGGCGGTCGTCATCTTGAGAGCCTATAAACGCATATCTTCACGCCCCTTTTAAATACCGCAGGATTAAAAGTAGAAGAAAGGAGGACCAGGAAGATAATTCTAAACTTTAATGTCTCAAGTTATGAACCCGCGAATCTTTTGTTGCTCGCAAGCAACGCTTTTACTGCGTGTGGATGGTGTTTGAGCCCAGCACATGTTGTTTTGAAAAGGAGAGGGGAGGGAGATTTTTTTATCTTAAGCCTTTTATCCTATAAGAATATGTGATCCCTATCATACCTTAATTTTAATTAGTTATTTCACATACAAAAATAAAAGGAATCATTGATACAAAAATACATCAATTAAAGATTTTGCCGTGTCTGTGAGGGACGTTATTTACAACAGTTTTATATTCCCATAAATCTTATAAATCCATAAATTTTACATAAATAGAGTACCAAATTAGACAACTTTCAGCAGATTTAAAGTTATAAGAAAATTAACAACGTATTGTAAAATAAAAAATCATATTATGTCCGTGTCCTTATAAGCTTTCTGTTTTTCTAGTGATTATCTGGTAAAGAATGCCATCGTCATTTGTACAAATTTTATTGTGAAATAAAGAATAAATAAATATTAAAGCAAATATGTGCTTATTTTATATATAGTATATGTATTCTTATTCCGGCGGTGTTTAAGTCTCTTTTTTCTAGACAAATGAAAGAAACGAACTGATAATATACCTATATAACTTAACTAGTATATACAGCGCATGCAAAATTTAATATCTGATCACTATTTAACTAATATGCACCTTGATGATATGTATATATTTACCTTATAGTATCTACCTACATTGCAATACAAAATTCATGCAGCGCCTACATTATTAACCATTCCATTCCTTAAATAAAATAATATATTAAATAATTACTCTTCTTATTGCAATTATAAAAATTAGGAAAAAATCATATTATTAAATAATTTATGTGACTGGTGTTATGAATATGGAATATCATGGTATAATGAATGAACTCTGGGATGCGTTACCCATTGTCATAAGACAAATGTCTGACGAATTTGCTATTAAAAAGTCCATGAATCTCTTATGAAGAAGCTGTGAGAATAGTTCTTTGATCTCTATCGTTAATATATTGGTATTACAACGTATTATCGCGTATTTATGTATATTTATACGCGTATATATTTTTTCGATATATATTTGTAGGATAATATTTGTTTAACGTATTCATGTAAGTATATTTATTTGATCATAATGTGTTCAAAGTCCTCCATTGTATATAATATATAATTTGTGAGTCAACATACATACGTCTGTAACTATTTGGCCAAATCAATTTTCTATATTTTTCACCGCATAAATACATTGTTTTTCCAAAGATGGACTAGGAGAAAATACTATACAACATTAAATCGGCCTTTACCAAACATTTTTTTTTTTTTGTAATATGATGAATAAAGAATAAGTAAATAAATTGATGAACATGAACAGCAAAAATCAATGAAGGATGACGCCCCCCTATTAGATAGAGCAATGACCTCATGTGCTGTAGAGAGGCAACGTATGCAGGTCACTTAGCACTTAGGATCGTAGCTTACAGGGGAAGAAATATAATGTTTCAGTATTGTTCACCATGGGACAATGTATTGATGATGATGATGATGGAATGTTCATAATACTTAGTTCCAGATCAGTGTTATCATCTTATTTATTTAGAAATAAATTATAACAGATTGGACCTGAGTAAACTGTAGTATAAAATATCTTAAGATATGGGTGGTAGATTACAAATGAGGTCAATGAATTAATGAAATTCGGTCTTAGCTTTCTTTTTAACGTAGCAAAATCTATTTTATATTCCTTACATAAAAAATAAACCTACATGCATAATTGCAACAAGTTATTTAGAACAGCAATGCGGCTTATGCGGCACTCTTGTTGCATTTACGTCATTTTCGCAAATTACACTTAAGTGCTAGTTTTCGTCATCAATCTTTTCATTGGAATTGTAGACGTAGTATAACGTATTTTAAGATCGGTATAGTTCCAGTTTTTATAGTAGTATTTTATAGACTTAAATATTCAAATCGTAGTAAATTATAATTAGATAATTTCTTAAAGGATATAAAATAATACTAAAAGCGTCAAGCATGTAATTAAGCAGTGCTAAAATAAGTAAAGCAAAGCTCAAAAATTATACCATTAAAAGCAAACACAGTTACACCTGCAAAACTTCTAAACATTGGTAACTATGCAATATTGTCAAATATCTATAGCACTATAGATTATACTGTCTACTACTACTATTCTATCCTTTGTAATAATTTAAATATGAAAGCTTAGTAAAGATATTCAGTTATTATTTATTAAACGGATTCGAATTACATTTGGTATATATGTATTTTAGTTCCAAATCATGCAACCAAAGTCATGGCTTCCTTACATGTGATTCTACAGGGACAAGGTTCTATGAAGGTAAAAATAAACATAGATGGAAAGTAATAAATTATTTATTATATTACTCAAAAATAAATACCGCCATACAACTATGGATTGTAATACTTTAAATCAAGAGTATAAAATATAGAATACGTCTATACATATAAATATTATAGAATCGCAGCTGGTGGGCTGGTCACATGCTGCGGGGTGACGTTGGAATGAGTCACGTGGTGACACCAGCTGGTAAGCCAGTCACCGGGAGAGCGTTTATTCCTTAAGGATGAGCTCCACGAAGGCGGTGTCGAGGTCGTCGCCGATATCTTTGTATTTCTCCTTCTCGGCCACAAGTTCGTCTGCGCATTAGTCAAATATCACAATATTATTATATGTTCATTTTATAAATGGGATGAAAAATACAAAGAGGAGGCAAAAATGTATTGACAACTTTGATGTGCAATATCTATCTGGACACTAATAATATAAATTATTTACAGCCAATCATTCCGAATTCTTACATCTTTAACAAAACAAGTGTTTGTTACATATTCAAAAGTTTATTGAAGAGCCGATTTCAAAAATTAATAAAAATACATTGGAATATCATAAAATATAGATTATAGGGTATTTGTTATATTTTCATAGATTTACTGGAGAACTGATTTCAAAAATTGATAAAGATACATTCGACTATCATAAAACAAAGAAAATAGTGTACCCGTGCAAAGTCATTATAAGAGAAGACGTTACTGATAGAAAGGTACCACTTAATAATATTTGAATGTTTTCTCGTGGTCCTTCTAAAATTTTCCATTAATACGATAAGAAATGAATCTTGTTTTCATGTCATTGGAATCAAATACAAAAAAAAATACGTGATTAAAAATTTTTATTAAAAACTCCTCCTATTTATATGTTTCAATATGTGCTCTGCAATCAATATAAAATTGTATTTATTCTATCATCTAAATTTCTCCATTAATCTACAATTTAATTTCACATGAACATGTGGTCTTACATTATCTCTAATATTGATGATATTAAACTCCGACAAGTCAAGTTTTGCGTCAAATTAGTGTCAGCGCTAATTCACTTCGTACTAACTGCTAACTCAACAAGGTTTATACTTAAATAAAGGTAACATTTGCGTTGCTTAGCGAGATTTAAAACTCGAATAGGTACAAGTGAGTAAATACTTAGTACGAAGCTTGTAAAATTTTATTTAAAGAGTGCATGCTTGTAGACGAGATAACGAGTAAAGATCGGCTCAAAAATAATGGTGCATAATGGTGTTACCTACATACTCTGTTGAATACAAAAAAAAATATCAAAATCAAAATTGTCAAAGATTTAGAACATAAACAAGTTAAAAATAAAGGCCAATTTAAGAACCCCTTCCTTTTTAAAATCCTTTACTTTTGATATCTTAAATTGTAACATTTTATATCACTCTTCAAGTTTAGACGCTAAAATTATTGCGGAAACTGAGTATAGATGAATATAATGATAGCATCTCAAAACTCATGCATTGTTCTACTGGACGAAGAATGAGCAAATTAATTTTTGAGAATGACATTTCAGAAAAATTTACAATTCTGTTTCAATATATTTTAACGCCATTTTTTTACAAGATACGCAGGAAAATGAGGCTGAAACTAAAAAATTTCTAGTCTTATACTCGTCTTATGCGTGGTTTTGGAAGCTCTTGATTCTTTGGACATATCTGGTTATAATAGAGTCTATCTAGGCCTCCCAGGTTATCTAAATCTCTTTATTTTCGTTATAAAAAAACTGTTATTTTTTTTAGAAAAATATGACTATTAGAGCCCTAAACTTAATGACGTAATGCTGAATCGAGAAAATACCTCGTCTACACGCTACTTACTCAATATTATAAAATTAATATAAATGAAAATGCTTACATGTGCGTAGTCCTGTTATTCCGAAGCCATGCTTGTTTCGTGGTTACCTGAAGCTTTTCTTTTATTACATCGAAGAAACTTCGTCATGCAAATTTGGTTAGGTTTTTGTCTCAGTACAAAATTCTTTTTAAGCAGTATTTTTTATAAGAAATTACTATAATATATCTAATTAGGGTTAAAACTTTATTATCAGTTAAATGCACATGAAAAGCAAAGATGTTAAATCGTCGAGATGATGATTGTTCAATGACAGCATGTGCATCTGTCGCAGGTGCGCATAGAGGGCGCGGACTGTGACGACTGCAGTCCGAGGTCCTTGAACGCGCAGTCCAACTCGCCACCGATCTCGTGGAACAGCTCTTTGCCGGCGATCAGATCGTCTGCAGACATCACCACAGTCCACAGTCAGTGGTAACGAAACGATACGCCTTTTGTTATTTATAACACACGCATGCATCGTGTCGTAGGTATCCAGGGCGTATTTAGTTAACAGTGTGCCGTAATATTTTCCTTTCAGCGACGTATTAAATCAAAACTATTCCATCAGCTATATTTATGTGTTTTAATTTGACGATAAAAAATATAATCTCATTTAAACGTGGTCGGATGGGCCTTATGGACAGAGGACCCGGTTTCTTATAACAAATAGATTCTTATTAGAAAAAACATTAAGGGGCGGGCGCCGTTTCAACGGGTGCTTCAGCCGGGGATGGGGCCGCGGCCGGGGCCGGGGCTGCAGCCGGGGCCGGGGCAGCGGCGGCAGGTGCAGCAGGCGCGGGCTGCGCTGGCGGCGCTTGAGCCGGGGGCGCAGCTCCTTCCGCTGGTGGCGCGGGAGTTTCGGCCGCAGGCGCTGCAGCCGGAGGAGCCGCTCCTTCAACTGGAGGTACAGCGGTCTCAGCCGCGGGGACTGCTGCTACTGCCGGTGGAGCGGCACCGTCAGCCGGAGGAACAGCCCCTTCCGCCGGGGGTGCAACACCTTCGGGTGCAGGCGCGGCAGCTACAGCCGGAGGTGCAGCCCCTTCCGCTGGGGGAGCAGCCCCTTCAGCCGGTGGAGCTGTGCCTGCAGCCGGCGGAGCAGCTCCATCAGCCGGAACAGCGGCTCCTTCAGCCGGTGGTGTAACACCTGCAGCTGGAGGAGCAGCACCATCGGTCGGAGGAGCTGCACCGTCAGCTGGAGGAGCTGCACCTTCTACTGGCGGAGCTGCAGCGTCTGCTGGAGGAGGAGCAGCTCCTTCTGCGGGGGGAGCGGCTCCCTCAGCCGGAGGCGCAGCTCCGTCAGCCGGAGGTGCGGCTCCGTCAGCCGGAGGTACAGCGCCATCTGCAGCCACGGGCGCCGGAGGAGGCGTGGGCTCCTTGGGTGGCGGTGTGGGCTCCTTCGGTGGTGGTGTGGGCGCCTTGGGTGGGTGGAGTCGTTCGTACTCGCGACGAGCCTCCTCGATCTGGCGAGCGGTGGGATCCACGCCGGGGATGAGCTCCACGAAGGAGTCGTCGATGTCGTCCCCGATGTCGTTGAACTTCTCCGTCTCGTTGATCAGGTCATCTGCGGCAGGCGGCGGCGGTGAGCGGTGCGGCGCGGCGGGGCCGGGCTGGCTCGCCGCCGCTCAGGACGCATGCGTTAACACCGGGGCCGCTCCATGCTTCGCTACACTACAGGAAGTGGTTCGGGGTTTCTTCATGCCCCGTGCTTCGAACGATGATTTAATGTACAATGTTGGGCGATCGCTGTGGCTCGATATCATTTCCCGTTTCTATTATTATGGTTTCTCTCGCAGTCTCTCAAAAATGCACAATGAAGATGACAGTGATGCGCGAGCGGATTCAATGACGATGGTGTTGATAAGTCGCATTTCATGAGTTTGTATTTATATAGCTGATAGAATCGATGTGAGGTTAATCGGGAAGAAGATGATAGGACACACACATTAGTAAAAAAAAACACAAGCTAAAAATAATAATATATATTTATAAACACTTGTGTTAGAATAATCTTAAAAATCATTAATTTATTTTTCACGACCTTATTTATCTATCAATTCATTCATTAATCGATAACATTAAAAAGACGGATTGTTCTCGATAATCCAACGCGTTTCGCAGTTACGTTTGTTGGACGGACTCGATATCTCGAGCCGCTGTATACTCGACATACAAATTGCCAGCTTTCTCAAATAAACTGCTATCAATGAAATTAAATTCCATAAAGAAATAATATTGACACTTATTCATCAATTAATTTAAATAAATAACAACAAACTCTTTATGACACAAGAAAAATCATACTCGAAACAAATAGAATATCGAATACTTCAAGCAAAGTATACTTATTATATACTTATAAAATTAAATATCATATTTACGTGTTACCATCACTCATTAAATAAAAATATCTAATCTCTTTTTAATATTAAGTAAATAAAGAGTTCATAAGGTAGATTGTGTAAATAGTGCAAATTGCAAATCGTTTTGTGAATAATGTATTATTGTCATAAAAATATTGTGAATAGAGATAATGACAAATTCGGGTGTCATTTTTTCTAAACAGGCAAATGTACAAATAATGTGCAATTTTATAAAAATGGTAATTTTGGTCCCCATTTTGGAATGTCGTCGTTTTGTCTTAGAAATAAATTATAGAAAGCCCCAAAGGAAGCGTTACTTCAGCGGCCATACATTGCAAAAACCGTACAATAACAGACACTCTCGTAAAGTAATGACTAAAAAACATAATACACCTTCAACATTTAAACGGGATAATATTAGTAATTTGTGTATCGAATAAAAAAAAAAATTGCACATGGCAGTGTTGTGGCGAACCGAAGTTGTCGTTACATTATAAAAAAAGCGGCTGGCAATTACACTATATCTAGTAACATCTAGTCGCCCGCTCTCCTCGCTAGACGGTTGTCAGAGATATAAATATATTTTAAAATAATTCTCTATTCTAATATTCATGTCAATACATTTGAAACCAGATGACGCTGCTGCGTCAATATCAATATTAAAAATGACAAGTGACGTAGTGTAGCGAGGGGCGCGGGCGCGTGGAGTGGGCGGGGGGGGGGGGGCGGGGAGAGGAGGTGTTCACATGTTCTGGATGTCGTGGAGCGTGGCCTCCATCTCCTCCTGAAGGATTTTGCTCTTTTCGCGCTCGGCTACCAGGTCGTCTGCAAGGGCGGACACGTGGCCACGGTCAGTCGCGCGCACAACATCACATGTTCACACTTGGCTCAAATTACCATTATTTTCAATTACTCGTAAATACAAGAAAAAGTCAAATTTAGTTTGTAATTAATATGTAATCATTTCTGTTTCAAGAATTCGACATTAAATATCAAATGACACATTGAGTACTACGTTGTAAGATTTTTTCGTAAGAGAACTATTGTCTCACTAATCGATAACTAATGTATAATTTGATATTTATTGTGAAATTTATACAAAAATATGATTACAATGTAATTGATAAACAAGTTTTTAATCAACAATTAAAATAGTCATGTTTAATTTGTCTGATGATAATTTGAACCAAGGAATACAGGCAAAGACAACATCAAATAAAAACCATGCGAAAATCACAGAAAATAAAAAAAACAATTGGGAATTACGAGCATCTAGTAGGACACGTACATGCTCAAAAAAAAAGAAGGAATGCACAGATTTGTCATGCGTGTAGACACTTGATATCATTTAGAATTGATGATTGCAACACATGCAACAGTCAATACAACACACGTAACAATTCTGTGCACTTGATCAAGTAAAAATTATAAATCTGTTACAGTTATGATGAAAAAAATAAAATAATAAGCTAGTAACTAGAGCGAGTATGATAGTAAAAATAAGCTTTCAAATCTATTGTACAGCATCAAAACTGAAGAAGCCAGCTCTAATGACGGCTGTGATTGTATTAAGTGCAATTTTAATGTTGAAAGCTTTGGTTATTACTCAAACAATGTTATTATTAACTTGACTTCAGAGATATATCAAATTTACGACTTAACCGAACTCTGCTGTACGTAGAATATGGTGGTAATATATCTGAAGAACCTTGAAAACTAGTATCAAAAATTTAATTATATAATATTGGTTACAATTATCGCTCTCATGACAAACGATTGTCCAATATCTCTTAATAAATAAAACTATTTATGAATATTTCTATCGTTAAGATATTTTCATCTAAATTCCAAAAAAAAAAATAAAGTAATACCCTAATATAATATTGAATTATTTTTGGTATATTACCTTCAAGCCTGTCGACCTCCTTCTGCAGTTTCTGCACCGAACGCTCGGCGAACTCGGCGCGCGCCTCAGCCTGCAATTTTAACACCATTGTTTTAATATATACTCCATCATTCATAAAAACGTCAACATCTAAATCTATTTTAGCTATTTAATTTTATATCTTTTTTATTGAGCTAAATTCTGTATTACAATAATATACTAAAATACCCAATAGTTAAAATAGATTTACTTCGAGATGCTTTATCAAACAGTCTATTTTCTGCTTACCTGCCATTAATTTTTTTATTACTATGTCAGAATATAGTCTGTAAAACAGAAACATGCATTGAATGTAACAATTTTTTTTTCGATTTTTATTAAAAAACAAGATTGAGCAAATTTTTTAGAAATACAAATCTATTAAAATTCTGTTATCATTTTGTATAAAAGGAAAAAAAACTTTTGATTAGAATTTTCAAATTCTTAATGTAGGAAATGAAACCATTCTGTTAGACAACAAAAGCTCTCTCCAAAATCATGCAAATTACCTTCACCAAAAGCTGATATGTAGCGAATGCAGCCGCTACAACACTAACATAATTTATACCATTACCCATTTTATATCTACATCATGAATATGAATATATAGGACAGTAAGCATTGGTCACTCTGGTTGCTTTGTTTGGACAAATAATTGCATTTATAATTCATTGTTTTGCTATAGACACAATGGATAATTTTAATCGAATTGAGCAGGGAATATGTCAATCGATCATTTGATAAAATGCTGTTTAAATGTATTACAAAAACTTCATTAAATTGTAATTAGCGTCGATATTGTACATTATCTACATATCTATTTAAATTTACAGTAACAAGATATGATCTCATTACAAACTCTAAAATTTTGTCTAACGCGGAAGAGGTCAGGTTGAAATTATTCATGTTGCTTTTATTGCTGATAGACTTAAACGCCCTTTATTATTGTAACGTTTTTACAGGGGACGTTAATACTCATTGCGCATAATATAAGTCACCTCATGATAGTTAATTCTTTGCAAAATCGTCACGATAGGTCTACTGATTGGACTTCATCCTCACCTATCATCTCTCATTAATACGCTGCCAGCATATACAAATAGTGCAGGCAGAGCTATGATTCCCTTTACTAAAAGAAAACTTCCCAAAGCAACCAGAGTAGCACGATGTGAGCACAACTTACTTGCGTCAGTTTCTGCGAGAGGCTGTGGATCTTATCCTCGACGTGTTCGCGGGACGCCATCGCCTAGCCACACAGGACTTATTACTGACGGCAAACCACCGACATGCCGCCACCTCCGTTGTGATTGTACGACTTGATCACCTCGGATCTTTATAATTTATCGAACTGAACATGAACTACTGCTTTTTGTTTTTTAAACTGTACACCTTAATCACGGCAGACAGGAAGTTCTAATAAACTAGAGATAAATTGTAAAAATGCTAATACTACATGACTAATAAAAGATATGGAACTACACAAGGAGTGAATTGGATAAGAAATTGAGCCATCCTACTTGGATTTCCTATTAATGGTAATCGTTTTATACCGGGAGCAAGATTCACGTAAAAAATATCTGGTAAAGGAACTGGTTTTATCAAATCTAATATTGAATAAAATTAGATCCTGTTTCAAATTAGATCATTGCATGGATCATATTTAGTAAAACATTTTATATTTAGAAGCAGGAAAAAGCAACAAAAGATGTACTTAGTGTTGTTTGAGTGAGTATATAAACAAAAACTATAACTGTTTAACTTAAAGAGTCATTATTTATCGTGTCTTGGAACTTGGTTTACTATTTTCCCAAATACATTCGTACATGAAATAGGTTGTAAAGCAGTAGCATGAACTATTTAGAACTAACTTTGTTGTTGAACCGATTAAAATATTTATGATCTTTAAACAGCAAAATACAATCACAATAGAGGCGCAAAGTACATACATAGATATGGAAACAATAATAGGTAGGACAGGTATTGAGAGAGAAGACAAACCTTATAAGTAGATACATAGATGAAGCACCAACCTCTGCCAGTCGACTACATATACCTACACCGAAATAGCCGTAACTGCTTATAAGAAGTGAAGATAAACATATAATGGAGTATTATGGACAATATATGTAGCAACCGTTTATATAGCCAACGATACAGTTTATAAAGGTACATATAAGGCGATGAGCATGAACCGATCTACTGCCGTAACGAACACTGTCTATCCCTCCGCTCCAACTGCTCATGTTACCTCTTTCAGTTGTGCATCCAGCAGTTTGACTTGGCCCTCGTATGATTCTTCCCTTTGCGTCGCCTGCGATTATTGTATGTTAAATAAAACCACAAAACAACGAAAACGAACATCCATGCAGTATCTCATAGCGTTACTTTATCAATATACATACATCAGCAACGCTATGATACACCAAACGGCTAATTTACTAGAGTACACTGGTAGTAACTGTTAAAGGAATATATTCATACAGCAGCCAAAATAAAGAGAGAGCGAGTATTAAAAGTAGAGAAAAACGCAACACGCAAATAGACGCACTACTTCTATGTAATCATCACCAATAATTAATTGTTTTTTTTTTTTATTTTTACTTTGTAGATAAATATGAAAAAAATTAATAATGGTAAGTCATACATAGAACAGTACACTAGAGGGTGTGTGCATCAGTAAGTATACAGTTAGGCAAGCGTACTAAAACACCCGCATATTAAACCGATCTCTCTCGCATTCACACCTCCTTTAGACGGGTGGTGAGTGTTTTGATCTGATTTTTGTACTCCTCCTCACGTTGGTTGGCCTGTATAAAACGGTACACACTTCATTACTCTTCAGTTTACATCGTTGGTCTTTATAAACTACAAACGTATACCATAAGTGAATTCCTAATTAGCATATATACTGGGAACAATGACTCGCTAGCCTTATTGAATTGCGATATCAATTTTTCAAGGCTTTTTTTCACAAATAGAAGGAAATGTAGTCTAGTCTAACAATTTATATATTTGGTTGGTGCATCATACTCAGGGACGATTGTTGTCTTATTTAAAAAAATAATTATAATTTGTAATGTTCTTTCTGAACTGAATCCTGAGAATTCTACAGAATTCTTAGCTTAAGTTAATCTAGCTCAAAGAATTGTTATCAGATTAGTAATTTATAGGGTAACATACCTTCTCCTCGGAGACCTCGAGGGACTTCAAGTTGTTACCAACTACGCGGAGTTCTTCCTCAAGCTCGACGATTTTACTGAAAAATAATATTACGACAATCAATTCCCACTGTAAATTATTTTTAATAAATATGTTCGTTCACTAATCGAAAGTACTGAAGGTACATGATATTGCAGGATATATTTAATGAATTTATAGGTCAAACTAATTTTAATTTGGTGACATGAACACTGTTCTACAATTAAAGTTTCATCTTTCAAGTAATAAATTTTGATTTGTGACCTGCATATTTGTTAATTTAACCAATCATATACATTTGAACTATTCATCAAGCGGTATTAATAAAAAAGAAGCGCGTGCCTTCACAGCGAGTAAATGTTAAATCATTGAGTCGATGGTTGCATCAATTCATTATAGAAAGTGAATAATATCGTAAATTTAAATAATGAGGTATTAAATTTAAAAGATATATATTGAGCAACTATCAACAGTCATGCAAATAATTAACTTTTTAATCTTAGGGTAAATAATGATAGTGACGAAAATAATCGTATGGTGATATGATTCACACAATTTAAATTCAATAGAGCTATTATACTGATAGAATATTTTCGACACAATGACGAATAATGTGCTTAATATCTGCAAGTGAGCGTGAGTCGAGCTGATAAGAGTTATTCATTGCATATCGGTCCTCGTTTTCACTTGCAGAAACTAAACACACGTTGTGCTTCAGTGAAACCGACTAATTTGATTTCATGAATTTACTCGTTAATTATTGTAAAATGCGGATTTCCAACACCGATTTTAATAGTCCTACTGGCGCCGGTCGGAGAGTTGCTATTGTAAATTTGTTGCTAAAATATTCCAACTGTGAACAAAGACTGTCTGTGAATCTGGGATTAATTTGTATTCAACACGAGTGGCTGTGGTGAACAGTGTCGTTTGTTGTTCAGTTGTTCCTAATGCGCTAACCTATATTGAAACCTATGATTCCTTTCTATAAGAAACAACTTTTGCACGTTTGAAACGTAGTTCAGAGTACAAAATGGACAACGGTAAAAAACTTATACGTTGGTAAATTTCAAATATATTACTATTTGCAAAATGCAAAATAATCATCAAGATCTATCAACCTCCTTACAGGGCAAAAAGAGGATATTAGGCTTTTAAAAACACACTAACTACTTCAATTTCATCCTCTAAAACGGATTATATCAATGCAACATTATATAAAACTAGCTGTATTTTTTTTTATACCACTGAGGTGGCAATCAAACATATAGATCAAATATTCCGCGGATTCATCTGTATACATAAAGAAGCCTATAGCTAAATTTGAACGTAATCTACCCCGTGTAGGTACCAAATTTCATACAGATCCGGTTTTTGCGTGAAACAGTAACAAACATCCGTCCATCCACCGTTACACACTTTCGCATTTATTATATTAATAGGATTCAGTAAATTTATCTTCGTGTCGTAAGTCGTAGTACATATTAGATTCATTATTTAATATATATCGATATCTGCGATCTATGTAGATCAATATTCGTTTATATCTCGCTTCGCGCTGAATCAGTAGAAAGTCTAACTGTTACTTCGATTTGGCTGTCTACCTTTTTTTGTATGTACATTTATGGCATATAGCAGCTGTGCAACTAGTGCAAGTGTACAACGAGAGCAGGCTACGGTAGGGAGGGCGGCACTCACCAGTCGCTCTGCTCGGCGCGCTCCTCGGCGCGCTCCAGGTCGTGCTCCATCAGCACGAGCTTGCGCGCCACCTACCGCCGGCCGAGCGTTAGTACACGCCCACACGCCACACGCACACACACACAACACACACTACGCTACCGAGTCGGGCGCCGCTCTCGACTGCCGCTTCGCTGCTGCGGTGCAACTTGCTCTAATATTTGCCATTGTCATCCGGATATACCGGGTGACTTCATTCACCCGGTTAAGTTGTGGAAAGTGATATGCAGTGCTCGAGTAAGGAAGGCGAAAAGGTTTAGGATATATCTTTTTAAAGCTAAAAAATATGTACATCATTACAATATTCGAAGAGGAAATTGTGTTAAATATAAAAATAATCCTCTGCCTGGTTTAAATTAAAATAAATTAGAAGCAAAAAATTAAATTCAAAAAATACAATTGTTTAATCCTTACCAGGCGTTTTTCTGTAGAAAAATAAAATTCATAAAAGCGAAAGCGAAGAATTTAAAATCCACAAACACAAATTAGAAGAAATAAGGAGATCAAAGCGGGGAGTCGAGAGCGGCGTCAGTACTCACATTAATTAAAATAATAAACGAGGGTTGTCCCAAAACATTTTAGTTCTTATATTTACTTTTGAAAACATTTAATTATCTAAGTGCTATCTAGTGCATTATTGTAATCGTTATGTGATGTGTGCGCTTGCATATGTGCGGCACGCATACGGCCAGTAATTCTGGTGTAATGCGGTGCATATCTGAAAACGAAAATTGCCCTATACCACACACATTTCCTGAGAGCCTAACCTATAGCCACGTTTAAGTGATACACACACTGAAGACAGAAGTTTAGTCGACACATGGACGTGATAGTTACACATTTGCATAAGAAATTTCCATGAAATGGGGCAACCCTTGTTTTAGTCTGATACTAAATGGATGGAGCGGCGCTTACTATCCGTGCAGCGGTGTATAAGCGCCGCCAACCGATATGTCCTTAAAATTAGGTAGTGTTACCGTTTCAAGAGTTTCGAGAACCGATAACACTGACTATATTAATGTTATGGCTGATGCAAAATTATAAGTAATTAAAATATGTTATCTCCTTCTCAGCTTGCGTCGAGCGGACGACCTAGAATCGGACATGCAATAAAAAATAACAGCGCGAACCAATGTTAAAAATACCAATGTAGGTAAATCGGGTTACGGTGCAGCTATGTTACGAATGCAAATGAACAACCATGCAAAACGGTGGCGAAAGTTACAAAACAAGGCCGTAGGACCACTGCGTTATCGCTCAAAATTGCCTGACACGACAGAGTGGAGATAATTCAGCTTTTCGCGCGCTGTTTTGTGTATCAAATATTATTATTATTTATATTCTGATTTAAAACAAGTTAGAGGCAATTTTGAGAGGAGCAGTGGCCATCCAACGATAGTGAATGAAACCTACGATTCACCGGATTCGGCACGTTCCTCCGCGCGCTCCAAGTCAGCCTCGACCATGGCCAGCTTACGAGCCACCTGAACACACCATACCACATTAACAAATACCATTTCACTGTCATATAAATGTCAGAGGATAAAATCAACGTATTATTAAGGTGGCGCGTGTATTGAGTAAGCTCACCCTTCGTATATGGAAGTAATGCTTATGTAACGACATATAGGTACAACGTTGGAGACTTGTCCTGCCCTTATAAGGTAAACAAACCAAGATCAGGCACGGCTCCATGTTGGGCGCTGACTTTTACGGCTGCCTTCACCGTGCAGGGTCATATGTCAGGGGAATTAGGACATTAATATACCCCGCCATCTGGCGGCAGCAGATGTTTAGATTTTTACAAGTTGAAATGTTTTACTGATAAATTTTAAAAAAACTTTGCAGCAAAATAATATATCTAATTTGACATTTATAAATGTCGCTATTGAAGCTCAGATGGGTTAATGCAAAGACGAAATGTTAGTTGAAAAACATCTTCACTCAATAGAATTAGTGCCACATCATAACGTAATAATGATATTTTAAGAATGTGACTATTTTTATTTCATCAGTAAGGGTAACACAACAAAAAACTTTAGACTGGAAATATTTTTATCGATATAAGAAACACACTAGCTTATTTAGAATTAAAATTATACATACTGGATGGAATGTGCATATTGAATGCATTCAATTAGATGGGACAGGAATAAAATCTTTGATAGTCTCATCAAATTATGTTATACAATTGCACTGCAGCAAACAAGACAAGCCAAACCAAACGACATCGAAACTCCTATGTAAAGACCTCATCGTATTTCTTGTCGGCTTCCTCAGCGAGGAACCTGGCTTCCTTCAGCTGGTTCTCCAGGGCGTCCATGCGCTCTTCATCGGCCAACGACCTGTTCTCGAGCACCTTACGGGCACTGGATCCCATAACAAAACCGTCAACATGAATATAGCACAGGTTAACTACCTACTGCGTATGACTAGATTATCAAGGGTAACCCAAAAGTTAGAAATCATGCAAGAACGATCACAATAGCATTTGAAGAGGAACATACAAAGCAAGACAATCTGCTACTCTGGAACACTGTGGAGAGAATGTATTCAAAACGAGAAATTTGGACAATACAAACAAATATTGTCATAACGCATTGTATATTATTCAAAAGTATTTTATATATACAATGAAAAAATGATGTATAACTTATACTTAGTCTCGTTTTGAATGTAAATTAGATATTATGATTGCAAAATAAAATGCTACTACAATAGCATTCCAATTTGCAGTCAAATATTATTCTTAGCTAATGACCATAATTATAACAAATGAATGTTACACACTATTACATTCTATTGTGATAAAACAAATAATAACTGGGAATAGTTCAATATTCAGCATAGAAATACACATTTGATTCTAATTATAATCATTGATATATAAAAATCAAGTGCTTATTCGTTTATAATGTAATTTATGTGCAACACTTCGAATTAAATGTTACATCGGATATGTGATAATCCAGTTAAGAATGAATTAACGATGATGTATAAAATTACATTATTGACGATGTTAAATCTGCAAAAACAAACAAACTGGATTATCAAGTTCCGAATGTTACAAGCCGAACGGTTCAGACGTTGTGCACTAAAACTTTCAACGGTCGATAAAGTTTTTTTCCTACTGCCAATATTAAATTTGAATAATTTATAAAAAAACATTAGAGGTGTAACAGGTTGTCACATTAGCCGTTGAACAGTTTTAGATACACGTGATAATGATAATGACAAAAATCACAGTGAAGCGTTCACCTCTTCGTATTTCTTGTCGGACTCCTCGGCGATGAGCTTGGCTTGTGAGAGCTGCGCCTCCAGGATTGCGACGCGGTCGTCCTCCATGTTGGTTCGGTTCTCTAGCGCCTTGCGTATTCTAGTTAGTGCGGGCCAAACACATGCATGTTACAACATGGATCATTGTTAAATAGATTATGGTATTTGTTTTGAATTCAGTGATAGGGATGAGACGAGAAATTATTGTTGTTACTAAAGTCTAAATTGAAAACGGGATAGCTCTTAACAGATTTTGTTCAATTACAATTATAATAATAATGTGAAAAAAAATCCAAATCTTGTTCAGCGATCTCCCGTAAAAAGGAACAGATATCAGTAAAAATGTGATCACTTAAAATTTAATAAAATAATCAGTACAATGTACTAATTAAATACTACAATAATTCTAAAATACTTATAATTATTGTATGCCATTAATAACGGTTTATAAGTGTTCACATCTTTTGATAAGTAGTTACAGTGTTTAAAGAGTCGACAAAAAATTACAATTCAAAAACATAATATTTAGGTAGCAGTACAGTTTGAGATACGCTCATGGAAATAAGAATGGTGTGGTTAAGGGCAAAAATAAAAAGAACACTCATGCACACGAGAAAAAACAACTTATATATCTAAAGTATATAATTATAGTAATAATTCGAACTTCATAATATTACTTTTCATAATCCCATAAACGAGATTGTGAAGCCTTACTTTTTAATTCTGCCTCAATGATAACGTAATCATGTCCGAATTAAATCACTGAGTAAGTACATATACATATATTATTTTCAACTACTTTATTTTCAAGATACCTAAAAAGGTATTCTAAATCTAATTTAGACATCATTAGATAATTTCTGAGTCTATTCAAAGATAAAAATCACAGTTCTAGTCAAACAATCAGGCTCACACGTCATCACTCAACACAGTATCTTGAAATCTGATGATAATGGCATATTTACTGAAAACTACTGTAATATCTTGTGGACGATTCAAGACAAGACATCCTCAATAACTAAAAATGCCATACATTATTAAATCAATGAATCCTAATCATGTATACCTTACTATAAAATGTATAAAATGTTGATATATTTAGAAAAGTTAAGTATTCGACATTATTTTTTTTTTCTTATATTACTTTGCTATATTTTAACAAAGTATAATACAGTTACTATTTTGACTTTATTTACAATTATAAAAGTACATTATCTAGACTTAAACTAGACAGAGTACTGTGCAGCACTGGTTAGAACTCACCGTTCAGACTCATCAGCTGCCTGGCTGGCCTCAGACAGTTTGGCTGTGGCAGTAGCAAGACGCTCCTCGGATCTCTCCAGATCTTCCTCCAACAGTTGAATACGTCGGTTGAGTGCAGCCACTTCGGACTCCGCCTGTATTAAAGATGTATCCAATTAATGCCTATGTACTATTTTGAATACAACTTTTAGTTTCTAATATTTTGTTTCAAGGTAAAATTTATAGTTAGTGAAGAAATATAATCAAACAAAGATATTTTATTTTTAATTCTAACATTAAACTAATAGTATATATTGTTTTATTGTTCATTTTCGTAAGTACACAATGTATTTTAATGTACCTAATGATTAAGGGTCCCGAATGGTCCCGACTGGCCTCGAAACTAGTCGAGCTTTGTCGACCAAATTTGGACGTAACTTAAACCTTATTATATTAAAGTAGTATATTGCTCACTAATTTTGCAATTCTTTACATAAATACCGTTCACCCATTTGTAAATATCTCCATAAATATTATAACAAATCATCGGTCTACAAGCAATTATATGATCTTTTTCAATTCTATAAACATAAATTTTAACGAGGCGTCGACCAAAATTGTTATAGGAAGGTGATTAAAGACCTTGGCATAACATAAAATTACAGAGATTTGAACTCTAGCGGCAATAAAGGCAAAGAAAGGTGAGACACACAGGTGCTAACTTTACAACTGTCTCGTCGTCGCATAAAAAAGGCACAACTACTATTACTGCAAAACTTACTAAGTATAATGTCGATCTATTTTATATTATTTATTAACCCATTAGTGTCCTTTTGTTCATAAGAGTTACCATCGAGAAATATTAACAAATATCACTATTACTACAATCTTTTTTGTGTTTAAATGTTGGTTTTGCAAAAACTATTAATGAATATAATCCATAAAATCAACGCAAATAGCAGATCCAAATATCTATAGCAAACGATCGACTAATTCATGGTTACTTCACTCATAAGTACTACCTAATTCAGTTCCAATTATGACAAATCAATCTAAGCGTGAGCTCAGCAAGTCGTGTTTAAATCAGAATATAAATTATTTAAACCAATAAGTACCATATGCTCTATACAATTCAAAGTTCCTTGGACTTTTAAGACTTAAAATAATTGAAGCCATATAAATTCCCAGAAATCATTTGATTAAGTACTACACTCGGAAAGAAGAAACAGAAACATAACACCTGAGCAAATCAAACATCCACATCCAACAGTACTACACACTGTTAACTTGCTTTTCGTGACTGTTACTTAATGACATGTTAAATAATATGACAATTTATTCCTAAAACGTAAAAAAACAGCTATTACATGCTCCAAATCTGAAGTCTAAAGATACCAACTACATTCCTGGTCTAAACCAGGAATGACCTGCCCATTTTAGATAATCTTATAAAACTCAAAGGTGCTTGACTTGTCGACTACGATCGACCACTTGACCTTGAATATTGTGCAAAAAACTAATATCTATGGTCACTCAACCTAGAGGAGAACCTACATCATACATTCTTGTAGCCTTTCAGAGTCGTTCGATCGTAGTCTAACAATATTGAGGTAGACGCTAGCAGTTCAAATTTGAGCACTCCTGTTATAAGCAATAAATCTAAACAAAACCGGATAGGCCCGAAAAATTATATAAAAGTCGACTTTTCATTACATTATTCAGCAATCTAGGTACCGTATACAAACACAGTCAGGATAAACTACCATTCTTCTCTTTCCGCGTCTAGGGAAGGTAGATAAAGTTTTGTTGGAGAAATCAGTTCAGGGTACAATAGGACTGATATACCTGAAGAAGGTAAAAGCCCTTAAAATATTAAAAAAAAAAAAAAAAAAAAAAAAAAAACTTTTCAAAATGATTTACCAAAAATACAATCTCTATTTTAACAATGGGTGAATCTATCGACGATAATGGAAGAACCATTTAAGAAGTAAATGAGATTAACCAAAGGCATGACATATGAAAACTACTTTTCTGCTTGAATAATTAATGTTATTAAAATGTACCTAAAGTTGTTACTATGTATTTGCTTAATTCAATATATACTATATATTGAATTAAGCATTTATCAGCAAGCATATTCATACTGTTTTACCTTATTAATAAAACATTTTTTTTATAAATGTTCACAAAAATGATGATTAATATGCATTCTGTTGTTTATCGGACCAAAGAGCATTTCACTTGGAAATTATAACCTTAGAAGACGATAACTACGGCTAAAGCAATTACCGTTATCAGATAAAGCGAACAAATATTTTCTAGCATAATCAACTATAAAAAAGAGAGGAAATATTATTTACGTATACGATTTTGTTGTCCCAAATAACTTCGGATCAGCAAATTTGTTTAGAAACTAGAATAATCGTACTATAGTAGGTAGTTGCTTGGATCTATTTCGACATAAACGAAAACTGTGACTGTGATCTAAATGCTCTTCCAAAAATAGTAGCATACCGTAAATAAATAACAAGAGCAGAGCCGCCAACGACCACGATCTAAGCGATATTAGTGGTTTCTATGAATGAATGTATTCGTATTTGTATGATAGATGAATACATGACAATACACGGCAAGTAACTGCACAATATAAAGCTATAACAGTTTTACCATCATATACAAAGTCATCCCGACTGAATACTGAAAATTAATTACTATCAGAGGATTTGCTTCAAATGTTAGCTACTGAAATAAAAAAATCTGTTTTAATAGAATGTTATACTTAACGAGGATAAATAAATTACACACAACAGTGACATATGTCCAAGATATTTATTGATCAGATCAATGAAGCCTTAAAATTGGTTTCAACATATTTAATGTTTATAATTACCTACGCATTCCAATTATAATTGATGTAAGAGCACTTATTATAGGTAAGTGACATTGTTCAACGTATAAAACAACAAAAAGTACGTGCCGAGCATTAAAGCGACTCGACATTTCGCATTACTTTATTTATATTCAACGAGTTCCACATGTTCATGACATCACGGCAAGTGTCCTTGTCGCGAGGAAGCTAGAACGAGTCCCAGTTTCTCCTCCTATTATCCTGTGTCGTCACCGGTGCTATTAATAGTAGTGACGGGACTCGATTTACAATTGCAATTGTATCGCATTGATGCATTCCTTATTTAACATTACCGGTGCGTGTAAGTTTTTGCACATTATAAATAGTTACTCGTGTTATAGGTTCTACGTGTAATTATCGAGTTACTTGTTATTACCTAATTATTTACTTATTCATAGGAACACCTATTAATTTATTCAAAATTATATTTTTATTATTTGTGTAGGATATTGTGGGTATATCAAATTCAACTGTTAGTTTATGCTATGGTAGATTAAGCATTTTACCTATTAGTGATTCGGTTTGGTTACCTTGAGCTTGAAAATCATACTTAATTCATTTCAACGTCTAAAGCTATTTGCGTAATACCTACCTACCTAACTAGTAGCCTCTCATCCCATATCAAAGGCCAAAGACCTTTAGTTGATGACTAATAGAATAGTTGATGAAATATAATTGAAATTCAAACAAAAACCGAAAATATTCCACAATTTATGTGCACTGCTTGTGAACAATCAATGAAAGACCCTATAGGTCACACTCAGTTGCGTAATTTTGTAAACATTTCATGAATACTCAAAAGTAGTAAAATCACATTGTTTAAAATGTGGGATCGGTTAGGATAGCCAACGGTGCGTCCATTGTAATGACCACCTACAATAGCCACACCAATAAATTGTAATGCAACACGGTCACGTAAACGGACAGTAAAAAAAAAAACCAATCCAATGGGATTCCGACCGCATAGACCCGATAACTTGTTAGGCAGTAAATATTTCTTCTAAAATTTGAAAATAGTTGATGTTAGCATAGGAATACAATTTCTAAGCACAAATTTTTAGTTTATTTATAAGAATTGGATTAAAAAGATGAATTAGATGCAAATAAAAATTATCCGTATCAAATGCGATTACAATAAATTTATTAGGTTTTTTAATAGACTCTTTACATACTGCAATAAATATCTCATATATTTAAACGACAAGTGTTTAATATGTCATTAAGTCGTTAAATAGATAAATGTTGTTACAATTAGGTATACCTAGAACTCGTTTTGTTTTATCTCGGAATTTTATCTCTTTCTCTCTAATTACTAGGTGACTACGAGCTCTACTTTTATTATTATTGCATTTATAACTTCAATTTGGTAAAATACAAAGAGAATTATATTGTACCTTTGTTATTAATTATAAAATTATTGGTGCATTCTTCTAACCGTTCATCTTAAATAAGTGTTGAGGCCTCAATCCTTAGTATTTAAACGATCTTTTAAATGCACGCCTACAGTACCAAAAAATAAGAAAAATCTTTAAAAATTTCTACAATTACTTGTAAAACTAATCAACAATAACTGAATTTATCAAAAAATTTAATTTCCCCAGTTAATTTATTCTCTTTTCCGACAGCAAAAATACAAAGTAACTTAATTTCGTATATTTCTTCTCGTCTTATTGCCATAAGTACAGATTAGGCACATAGCGTGAAAACAGAAAATTTTATTTTAAAAATTATAGAATTGCAATGAAGTCGAAAGATCGTGACAATTGTTTCTTAATACACTTTGTGCCTACATACAGATCTAATAAGCGTGTGTATGACTATGAACATCGTAATCATAACGAGTTACGTCATAACAGCGATAACAGCGAGGAGCTCGGACACGCCTTTACGGTGCCAGCGGTCCTTCGAGGACGTCCGAACAACAGGAATGCTTCACAGGGTGCTAAGCCATCACTAATCCAGCCGGCTCACTCTACATGTGTTACAATAGACCGGTATACGACCTCCAACGCAACCAAACCTGTTACGTGTAACAGAAACCGGCGGCACCCAACCACGTACCGATGAAATTACGTGGTACAATTTTTGTAATTATAAAAATTCCTGGAATTCAAAATGATTCGACACTACAGTATAGCCCTAAATTCACCAGTTCACCTATCGAAAGAAATATTCGATGAAAAAGAATTCTTGTATGCTATCTCTTTCTAAATGATAAAATTGAGATGAATCTGAAAGAGAAGCGAATATGCGTACGTCGCCTGTACACCTAAGTATGGCCGGACATTACTCACTAGAGGTAGATAGTACAAGACTACTGATAACTCCCATATTTTCTTTTAGCATTTCTCTTGACACGAATCACACTGAAATTTACACATAACACACCGCACAATATAATATCACATTTGCTTACTTCTTCTCTCCGCATTATTTCCACTTGAAATCTTTTGTGGTACTCTTCACATTCGTCCTTAAATTTTTCCATTTCCTCTTTTGTCTGGCGCATTTTCTTCTTCAAAACGTCCAGAATCGTTCCTTGCTGCATGTTCGTCGTCATTTTTATGCACTTTTATGTTTTAATTAAATGCTTAAATGCTAAAAAAACTAAAAACACCTCCGCTCTACTCGCGAAAATGCCAACCAACTGCCTCGTTCGTTAGGCCCCGTATCGCTGAGATGGGCTCGGCACGAATGAACACAGCCGGCGAATAAAATGGCCGCCACCAACCTATACACTGCAACGTTATTGTCACTTTACTAATAGCGTGCTTTGATAGGAATTAATAATTATGTAGAATTTGTAATAATCACAATTCTGTTCCGATGAACTAATTGAAATAAGAGCAATGACTAATGCAACTACACATTCTTGAAATGAGTTTGACAGTACGATGACTGGACGTCACTTTACTGTAGCACACCTTGATCGACCGAGACTGGTACGACAAGTAGCTCCACCTGTTAGCGTTTGACAAAAGAATAAAGCCCTACGAAACCAAGCGAAACCGAGGCACAAAAAACCAAAATAAGGGATAGGCGCAACGCCTGACCAACTTTAGTTAACAATAATTACGGAAGTATACATAACTACATTACAATGAAGGGCTATAGAAAAAATGAAATGTATTTAATTCATGGAAAATTATTATTAATAACTTCAAAACTACGAAAATGACTACAATAACAACATCTAATCTTTTAAAATAAACTTTTTATAATAAAAATCATATATTCGTTTATAATTTAATACAAAAATAGCTTTTTTTATTTTAGCAATGAAACCTAATAACCTTAAATTATTTGGAACTTACACCAGATCATTATTACTAACAGCACCATCTAGTGTGGATTCTAAGAAAAACATGAAATATATGTCTCATAAGTTTTGTGTCAGCTACGAAAGGAAACGATGTGCGGGCGGTGCGGTGAACCGAAATTCGTGTGACGTCATTTGGAAAGTATTTGTCTGTTTAAAATTCCGTTAAATGACGAAGCACATACACAAGTAAAAGAAATGAAGGCGGTAAAACAGAATATGACCTGTAGAATCAGGACAGAAGTAACTCTAGTTGTTTATGGGTAAGATCTTATTTAAATAAATATTAAGATTGTAATGTTCAAACTTCACAAGAATATTGTTGCATACTTTTATAAAGTTTTTAAATACTTAAATAGATAACACATATATATAATAGTTACGACGATAATAAGTATTTAAACTGTGACTGATATTATGTCAGTATTCAAACAGATTTGCAAACAGCAGAAACAAATGCTAGCCATCTGACTACACACAACCGGCTATACCAGTATTTCCAGCACGTTATCTTCTTTACAATATGTTACATAAATATCATTGATATATAAAGATTCAAAAAACAAATAGATCTAAGAAATGTAACAATTGAAATAACATCTTTATGACCTTATCTCAATTTATTTCAGTATTTGGTATTAACTGATATACTTATCTAAATCATTTACTGCATTTAAAAATATCTATATACAAACATGTAATGACTGCACGGCTCTAATTTTGTTGACCTTCAATGACCAAATGACAGAACAACACTTATTATCCAACTAGTGTACATAATGGCATTCTCACTTACTCATACATGATTTGTGCTTTACGAGTACAAAATTTGTATTACATCCAAATAAGTATAACATCATAACTTCGGATCACTTTGACAGTTATATATTATTTAGAAGCCATATGGTCAACGATCATTAATCAAAACCAAGAATAACCTGAGATGTATGAAAAGAATATTCATTAAATGCATTTCAATGCGATAAAGAATTCAATAAATGAGACAGAAATCGTATCTTTTCTAAAGGGACATTAGGTCATGTCAGTCAACAACAATAAATGTAAAACGTAAAAAATATAAGTGCCTAAAAGATTACATTGAGGAATTGTTTTATAAGTAGCAAAAAGTACTAACAAACAAACTTTGGTAATATTCTTAAAAATGTAGATACTAGATAGATAGATTGAACTTTTCCATTTGTTTTATTATTTATTTATTAGAACGACAAACAACAATACAATATTATCTTAATACAAATATTAGCATATAAGTGATGTTTGTAAATATACCAACAATACTGTTGTTCACGAAAAATAATATATTATAATAACTTTTACAACAAATCAAAATACAAAACAGAATCAGCTATAGTTTTTTTTTTTTTTAAATTTAACTTAAACTTTGTAAAATTATGCTTTATAATCCTAAATATGCATGAATACGAAGAAATTTCAGAATAAAAAAAATACTTGTTTGTTAAATTACGATTGTAGATACCTACTACATACTAACTTCAGCATAGTTTTAATGGATGTAGGTACACAACATAAACACGGAATGTAAAAATAATTCTTATACAATGGAATAATAATCTACCAAAAAAAAAAAAAACAAAAGTTAAAGTATGAAAAAAATATGCTCGCGCAATAGATTTATGAAGATATTTTCCTACCAACACATATTAGCCAATTATTAAATGCTTCAAAACTATTTTTTATGAAAATTTAATAAGAGCAGTAAATACAATGATATTATTCCAGCAATTTTAAAACATCGATGTTCGACTGAAAAAATAAAGGAATAAATGAGAAGGAAAAAGTAGGTAAACACATGGTGAATAGACAAAAAAACAATAATAGCTATCTATGCCATTAGTTCAAATCTTGTTATCAAATGAAACATCACAAAAAATAAAATTCAGCATATAAACAAGATTAAATAAAGACGACATATCTATCAAATAAATGATTAAAAAATTACTGGTAATATTCAGCATCATGTTTTTTTTTTTTTTTTTTTACAGTTTATTATGTACAAAGAATCAGAAGTCAAATGTAATTTACACTTTCATTTATTATATTTTATTATTCAAATTCTCATAAATTTCCTGTCAAGAACATATTTAGTCCTAGTTACGCTTTTAATTTTTTACGTTTAAGTATCATTATTATGCTACAATAAATTCTACAAGCTTTAGTGTGTTTATAATTTATTAAAAAACTTAAAGTTCTACATGCGTACGAGAATATTTTGTGTTAATCTTTACATATGTACTACATTTTTGTTATTTTATTTTTCAAGTAAGTTCTTTATGCAACATGTCTATTATTGAACTGGGGCATGCAAGTAATGTAGCTATGCACAGAATTCATAAGTGCAGCGTTATAATTGTTAATAGCTATGTTTCTATTGCGTAATCGTTTACTTTCTTGAATTCGGTGCACGTTTCATTTCTGTATTTCTCTACATCACGTATTTTAAATCGTTGTTCAAAATTCTATGTCTTAGATATTTCAAAATTTTATTTATCGAGTCAGACGTCTGGTCAGAATACTAATTTAGCTTTGTTATTAAAAGTAAAATTAGATTTCATTAATTGCTGAAGCAAGCAAGATGCTTGCTAAATATATTCAGTGTCAAAATTCTAGGCCGTGGAAATATTAACAAGGTAACGCACTCTATTGTGCACGAGTATGAGAATGCAATGCAAACTTTTTTTTGTAACAATAATCTCATCTCCATTCTGAAAATAACTTTTTGTGTCTACTTAATGTCATAGCTTACGTAAGTCAACCGATAAGGTACCCGATAATAATACGTTACAGCTCTGACATGAAAACTTTGGTTACATTTAAAAAAAATTATAACGTAAATATTACCTATTTACTTACTGAAAACATAAGGCTATAGTTACTACAAAGCAAAAGGGACAGCTAGTCCTTATTCGCAATGTGCCCTACCCAAAAGATGTCTGGAAGAGATTGTTTAGCGATAAAGCCGCCTTTTGTTTTATTCAGTAAACTTTCCTATTTTTTATTATTAAAGCGTAAATAAATAATAAGGGACAGCTAATCCTATAGTAATTTTTGTAATGAAAATTAAGCATCTGCAACCAAAATTATTTAAATATCTTCACGTTAGCTTTCGATTGTACGGTACTATTTACTTAGTTCATGAATATTTTAGAAAGTTATACATTTTCATCTAAATTATACCTATCTATGCATGTATTGTATACAGTGAACACTAATGCAGTATAAAATGTAACTTTATTATTATTACTCTATGCATGTGACCTAGAATTAGCTATTTGTATACTGTCGATTCGTACGAGAAATACAGATAATCTAGCAAATTTAAGATTTAATGATAATTCATGTCTGCAAACTACTTATCTAGAAAAATAACAAGAATATATACTAAAGTGAAATAATTTATTTTATTTTATTTAAAGAAATAATTAGCAAGGCCATCCATGTGAGGTTAGTGATCATAACGACATCTAGCGACAAGGGATGCAATCGTGCAAGTAAACATGCCAAACTAAATGTCAATGGCTCAGCTGATCACCACGCGAGCAGTGCGCCTTTGCCTCTTTCTATGAACCTACAACATACATTTTCTCAACCTAAACGCGTTAAAAATAGTTCTGTGCGCATTTGGCCTACACTAGTTGAGCGTCAGACTCGCGCGTTTGAAAGATCATTCAAATAACATCGGACATTACCCTTTTCAATGCAGTGTTCTTGATATTCTGCAACTCATTCTTGATTATAGAAAATTTCATCATAGTATCTGAAGAGAAAATAGAACTGCCAAATGCTAAACCAGGATAATCCGCACATCTTCTTCTCCTTCTGCTTTCTCTTTCAGCTAAAACCTCTGTACATTCGCTAGTACATCTTAATTTTGCAAGTTCTACAGTCTCGGGATCGTCATCAGAAATATCAGAAGCTACTGGAGCAGCCTCCGCTCCGTCTCCAGCGGAGCGTTCTTCTCTAAACGAGAAATCATCATCTGAGCTACCTCGAGATTCCGTTCCCGTGATTCTAATATTATCATCAAAATCGATTTCATCATCGATATTCGTATAGTCCTCCACTGTATTTCGATTCGAAAGTGCATCGTCACTATTCGTCCTTGTCACTTCTCGAGATTCACTAACACTATTGACACAAGGCACAACATCGTCTGTTTGATTGACTAAGGTCACTTGTTTGGACGGATCAGTGTTTGATGTGGTGCCGGGGGCAGGCACGCGGTCGCCCCGCAGTCGCGGGTGGTGTTGGTGCCCCCTGCGCCGCACGGGGGTGCGCCCGTGGGCGTGGGGCGCGGACGCGGACATTACTACACGCGGCGCGGTCCGTCCGGCCGCGCAGCGGCGGCCGCCATGTTGACTGACTGTCGATTTGGAAAAACAAAAGGAGGGCGCTGTGATCGCACCTTACGTCTGCCATCTTTTGTTTTCATCGAACTACTTTACCGACAGTGAGCCAACCAATCACTTGAATATAAGTAACGCGGGAAAATTCAAAACTTTCAAAAGTGCAATACATTTCGTACGTAATAATATAAATTTGGGAATAATTAAAAAAGGATTATATTATCAAATAATTAAAGTTAATGTTACTTTTAATTAATAATTAAAGTTACTTTTATAAATAATAAATAAATGTTTCACTTTTGTATAATTATCGTGTAAACGTATGTAAAGCGTCGGTACATTGTGAGGCGGACGCGTGCTCTGTCTATTTTTACCGAAACACCAGGCATCGCGCCCATATTAGGTGCCGAGCGCCGAAAATAACCCAACAGTGGCGCAAGCTAAACACCGCAGCCCCCTGAACGCAAGATTCCGAACTAACTAACCTGTAGAACTGATGCATTTCACATAGAGGTTTACTCACATACCTACCTAACTACTCTTTAAAACATTATGTCGTCATGTGATCATGACGTAAAACAAATATCACAATAATGCGACTGCTTGTACGTGTTCACGTAATTTTTTTTTAAGTATATATTTCATGTACTTGAAATATCCATATTGTACTTTATTTCAACAAGTACTTATTTTTAATAAAGAAGTAAAAAACGTAGACAAGTATTATATCGTCGGCCAAAATGGAGACCTAAATAATTTAATTAATAAATAAAAAAAAATGTGGAATTTACTGCTTCTTTTTTGTCATAATTTTACTTACGATAATAACTAAAATAAAATTTTCCTGACAATTTTAATGACAGTCAAATTATCTTAATAATTAATTACGACAAAAGACTATAAGAAAATAGCAAATCGCGATGAACAAAAACAACAAAAAATATAATTTCAAAATAGAGATATTTTTACTAATTTTCAACTAGTAAAACTTTAACTTTATCACAAAGCGATCAAAAAACGTTATAGTCTCCTATAAAAACTATTTAAATTTGTTTATTATTTTTTATTTTTTGTTTACATATATCATTTCTAAAAATTTGGTCCGTATAACAAAGTCTCCATACATAATTTTCTAACTGCATCTCGTGGATTTGCCCACATAAATTAGGATTAAAACGACACTATATTTTAATTCAGGGTACGGTCCATCTGTGTACCAAATTGTATTCAAATCCGTTTAGCTGTTTGAGCGTGACTGTGTAACAAATATCTTTACAAATTTTCACATTTATAATATTAGTAGAAAACAGGATTCTTTCATCTACCAAAGGAAAAGTATAATCCTGTGTGATATCAAGCAAGCGAGATTTTTTTCCATGTGATTTTATGTTACATAGCTTAGTTAATAATTTGCAATTTTGTCATGAGAAACCGCGATTTTTAATTCGCATTACTTATTCTGTTGGCAACTACGAAATACATTATACAGATAGTCATCTGTAGGTATAAAATAATAAAACGGCCTCTGTTAGCTGAGACATGACATGTTAACCTTCATACAACTCATGTTTTGTTCTATTCATCAGAAAAATATTGTAAAATAACACTTTTATGGTAGTTTTCAGTTATGTATAATTTTAATGATTTTTTTATCACTTGTAATGGAAAACGAACTATTGGAAAAAATGGTCGTCATCAACGCGTCGTCGTCACTGTAGGGTGTTAAAACTTTGTACATAAATGGATGTAGTCGAGGGGAGGCAAAGGTGATACTGAGCACTGGCAAACTGGTTACCTCTCTAGAAAGTTCGTTCGTTTATACTGCGATACCTATAGAGCGAATTTTTTTATTAACTGTAAGGAATAACGAAAAATACTACATCATTCGATTTTTAAAAAATATCCTTATACTTAATAAAAATATTCCTATACTTTCGATACAGTCTAGTCTACAGTACAGTTTAGTCTATAGTCTGCGGTATTTAATAATAGTACAATTGAAAAATAAATAAATCTATTAAATGCTTCGATTTTAACAAAAGTTGATTACCTATTGATATTATTAGAAAACTCTTGTACTCTTTCACAAAAATAGTAATATAATAATATCTAACTAGTTTCGCCATACAAAGTTTTACAAAGTTTCACCAAGTGCCGACAATCGGGATTATTAACATATCAATTATCTAGTCTTTAAGTTCTACTGAAACCGACCATGCACTACGATAAGATCTACCGACTTGAATTTTATAAAATTATATCTATGAAAATGAACAAGACACACCTCGACATACTTTTAACTCAAACCTTTCAACACCTCTCCTGAATTAAATCTAAAAAGACATAAAGCAGCTATAAATACTTTAAATTTTCCATTGATTCATAGTTTTTATAAGATTCCTAACAGTAAATCAATTTTTTCGAACTTTTCATTTGAAATTAGTGTTTAGAATTAGACTAGACAACGTGTAAATATTTACTAAATAAATGATCTCAAAGAAATAAAGCGAAGTAACATAAGTACTTACGTTCTGAAGAGCCTTCTCCTTCTCCTCAAGTTTACCGTTGACCTGCATTAGAGACTCTTGTGTCTGGTCCAGATCATTCTCAATGGTCTGGATTTTCTTCTGGAGCTGTCTGGCCTCCTCTTCCGCCTTGGAGAACACAAAAATGTATAAGCATTACAAAAAAGGGCCATATGGTGTTTTCCCTTAGTATTCTGTATATTGTAGTGTCACAGCCCACCCTTCAAATCGTAATACGTGTGGCTCCTAAATAACGAGACTGACACTGTAAAACATTTTATTTTTATTTCATACATATTTACTCATCTTCAGTATACACCCGTCTTCTGCCTCACACAGTCATCACGTACATATAACGTTATTATTATGTAGACAATTCCGAAATTCTAATAAAATAGAAAAAAACATTTCATTCGTGTTATTTTGTATCGGGTGCAAAGTATAAAGTATTATATGAGTATATCCGTGAACTTGGTAACCCTATATTTATGTATGCAATATATATATTTACACATCTATAGATAAAATGCAATAATAATGCACCTACATACATTGATTTTGACCTCAAGATATCTGTTTAGGTTAGATAATATACCTATCCGGATGGATAGAGAGTCAAATGTCAAAAACGCTTCAAAAACTGTTGGCATAATTTTTTCATGCAATAACATAGTTTAAATTATTATATTGAGAATATAAATAAATAAAGTTAATTATGATATTTAATTACAAGTTTAGCATGGTCTTGTAACTTCGAAAATAAAAACATTTTTACACATATATTTTTTAAAGTTTTTAACATATAAACCCATTTTAAAATTTTACACTATAAAGTAGCTAATTATTTTATGATACATATCGATATCTTCGAAAGAGGAATATCATAAATAATTGTATAGTACTATAATATTAATTTATTTTAAAGTGTTGATACTTCTAAATGGTTGCATAAACCATTTTACAGTATCATCAAAATAAGAGAAATGTCAACTCGTAAATAATAAAAGTAATTACGCGCCTTTAAAAAAAATATGCTCTTTTTGGTTGATGCATTACTATGATATCGATGAATTTCATCTATATGTATTTAATTTACTAACCAGTAAAGTAAAGATAAATCAATAAAGTTACAATGAAATATGGTAACCTTACCACAGCTGTTATTACACGATTGTGAAAATATTTTATATTAAATGTGAACCCGTTATTATTTAAATACTACAATGTATCTACTTGCAAAATAAAACATAAAAATGCAGTCAAATTAAAATCCTTCTTATTTTGACGTCGTCTGAGATGTCTCTCAATTGGACTGTTTATTTTTTATATTAATCTATTTCGATGATTAGATTCATCGATATTGTTTACTATGTTGGTTACATATATTACCTAATTATATCAAAATTGAAGTCGTATTTTTTTTAATACAAATTACATTAGATACATTCATTATCAATTAATTTATAATAACATACCTTCTCGGCACGAAGGTTGGCGTCCTTGGCCTGTTGCTCGCACATATCGGCGCGATCCATGGCGTTATCCTTCTCCAGCTTCATCGCCTGCATTTTCTTCTTGATGGCGTCCATTTTGGCAGGTTTTTGTTGCTACTCCCCTAGTAAAAAGCTGGAACAACATTCAAAGTTTAAAAAAGTGTTCATTTCTTAAAATATATTTTTTATGATTTTTTTTTTTTTCTAAAAGCGAATCTCAACGAACTTATTCATAATACAGTTTATAATAAATTAATGCTTTACGCTAAAACTTATTTTTTTTTCACTTATGAAACAATAAAAATAATAATAAAAATTTTATAACAAAACGAGAAAAGATGACTATATATTTCTTGCCTAAAACTGATGCATTTTTAAATTCCATTTTTAAAATAGCCTACCTATTTATATAAATTGTTAGCATAGCAAACATAATATTATAAATTTAATTTTATTGTAGAACATTGATTTTTAATTTGTCTAGTAGAACCCTCACTCCAAAAAGTTCAAAACATCGTGCAACGTCGTGCTATTTATAGAACTAAAGGTGCATTGATCTTGCATGCAGAAGAATTTCTGGGTTCCAGTCACGGGCGCAAGCTAAATATCTTAAACAAACGGAACTTCATTGTTACATACTGCGTATTTTATTCTTTTACGTTAAAACTTTAAAAAAATTTGCATTTAAAGAAACAAGTAAATCTTTAAAAAGACAATAACTTTGTTTACCTAAGCAGAATATAATTTATTAATCTATGAAATAAGTACTAAGTGTATACCAAATTTTATAACAGATTGTTAAAGTGCATAAGGATAATAAAGAACTAAATAAATAGAATAAACTACTTATATGTTTGAATAACAGGACTTATTTTCACTATTATAATACTAATTGATAGGATAAATAAGGATGTTGCGCCATAAGTATTAAAAAAGGGGCAAAACTAATCCCCCCTATTGTAATCCAAAAAGAAAAGCTAACAATGTCAA